GTCTTGGAACCCATTTTCTGTACGTGGCAGTGCTTCCAGGACCGACAAAGCTTGCCCTCTGAGCGGTCAGGCATTGCTCTTCCATCCATCCGTTGGCAGTAGCAACAGTCTGGAATTGCCGACGATAAGCGTGCCAAGAAGTAGTGGCACTTTCACTTTTGGTCCTTGTGCCACTCCAGTAGTGTCACTAGACATCGCGATTCCCGTGGTTTCAAGGCGCACTACTTTCTTCTGTAGTTCGGTGAGGCCGGTTTTCACATTTTCAACATCCAATCCTAACCCGGTAACTCGTTCTTCCACTACGTCGACATCTTTTCGATGTTTAATCACCGTGTTACTAACATCATTTATAGCCCAAAGCGCCTTTTCTTGGAGGTCTCTTTGTTGCTCTTGTGATTCTCGAATCGCTCTGATTTCAGCCTTTTGAAACTCTTGAATCGTAGTCAGCTTGCGTTCTTGTGACTCTTGCAAAGCGCCGAGCTTGCGTTCTTGTGACTCTTGCAAAGCGCCAAATTTGCGTTCTTGTGACTCTTGCATAGCGCCGAACTTGCGTTCTTGTGACTCTTGCAAAGCGCCGAGCTTGCGTTCTTGTGACTCTTGCAAAGCGCCGAGCTTGCGTTCTTGTGACTCTTGCAAAGCGCTCATTAGTTCAATTAAACTTCCTAATTGAAGAGCCATTTCAGGGGCTGCAGAAGTTACGGTGTCGCTGGTGGGCGTGGCAAGGTGGGCGGGGCCCGGTAGGTAGAGTCAGTGGGCGGTGCTTGCACCAAAAGGGGGCGGGGCCTGGGCCCGAGTGGGCGGGGCCTGGGCCCGAGCGGGCGGGGCTTGTGCCTAAATAGGCGGAGTCTGAGGGGCGTGGTCATTGGGCGTGGCCTGGTCGGTGGGGGCCAGTGGGCGGGGCTTGTCTCGCAGTGGGCGGGGCTTGGTTCCCATTGCCTCCACAGCTCGTGCCCTTGTCCTGACACCCTCCTTGAAGTCCTCTCTCGGAGTCAATGGCATCTCCAAATCCCACTTCTGACACCAGTTGTTACGTGTTAGGGGTTCGAAGGATTTGGAGAGTAAGACCTGCTGACTCTTTTGAAGACTTTATTTACGCACACTAGGTCCAACACAAAGCACTAGGTCCAAACACTAAGCACTAACGATGTCCTATTTTGTAGCCAAGTCGTAGGTTTCACTAGTATCGCTCTTGATCACTAGTTTTCGCTCCGAAGTCGCCTCGAAGGTAGCTCAAACTGAACTGTGATCGCTCGCCTCCCTGCGGCTTTTTATACGGGCCGAGACCGGTTCCGGATTAATCCAGAAAGATCATTCCTGGAACGTACCCGACACGCACGAACATGTTCGTGATTCCGGAAAGTTCGCGAATGTACCCGGTTTTCGAGACTATAGTTCCACAGCAGTTCCTCTAACCCCATCTAGTGTTGAATAGGGGGTTTTATGTCGTCTTTGTTCTTTAGTGGTTTTAATAGTTGACGCTAGATGGCGTTAGTTCCTTTGTGTGTTCATAACAATATTTATAAAGTTTAATAACTAGTAAATTTAAAGTTTAATAACTAGTAGCTAATTTTTATATAGCATGCAAAATATTACACATATCAACTTTACTATTTATATAAAGTTTCCAAAATACAGTTGCAGTCAATTCTAAATTAAATTTCACAATTTATAATAGTGTAGAAAAAATAAAATTAAAATTAATTAAAATAATGTCAAGTATTAAATCTTATTAAAAAAATCTTTGATGTCGTAAAAATTATTTACCTTTAACCATATTAATAACTTTTTTTTAAATTGTCTGTCATGTAGCATTTTCATATTATTGGGTATTTTTTTAAAAATTCGTACACACATCGTCAAACAATTATTACTATACTTTGCAGATCTAGGGGTGTCTTTTAGCACTAGTCTATGTTGGTTCCTTTTTGGCCTGTTATTGACTTCGTTTGCTGTTGTAAACAATTCTTTATGTTTCCTTAAGGCATATAAATCATATACATTGCGAATTGGTGGACTTAACACACCTTCGAAAAATTTTTAAGTTTTTCTTCACCACTGAGCATGTAATATATCATCAATCAACACTTAAAATCAAAAATTTCATTAATGCCAGCACCGGGATTTGAACTCAGGTTGCTCAAGCCAATATTGAATTAAAAGCAAGTGCCCTGACACAGCTATCAAGGCTACATATTTTTTATTATAATATCATGGCTAATTTATAATTCATATTTAATTTAGGAATCTATGCACACATTTGTTAAATTAATTCTTACTTCATAGGCGCAGTGTATGTATTTTTTATATTACTTTACAGTTAATTGAGATGTTTGTAGTAGTTTTTTACATTTTCATTGAAGCACTTATCACAAATTTTCTTGCTCTCATGGATCTGTTCATCTACCATGCCTCTAAAAGATTTACCTGCTAGCTCAACACATTTTTTAAAGAGCTCTGGGGTTGGGTTATTCAAATGATTTGGATTTGAACGGGTACACCTGAAAATAAACCAGAAAGTTATATTAACTTATATTAGTTGTACCTATTTATTTCAGTAATGTCTAATTAATGTTAGGCTACAAAGTTAAGGCTATTTGGAAACCTCGTATGTATATTAGGTTTTTATAATAGGGGAATAACCATACCACAACAACCAAATATAAGCAATTTATAACAAAAACCTTAACAGAGCTATGGGTACAGCACCATAAATTTATGTTATATATTTGTCATAACGGTAAATGTAAATAACTTTAACTCCGGCGTAATTCGATTAAAATAAATTTTAAACGTTAGAGATAAATCTCTAATGAATTAATCAACAAGCAGAATTCGGCGGTCGCGTATAGTTTTCGAGAAAAAAAATATTTAAAACTTGTTTTTTGTACTAAGAAATCCACCATTTTATTTCTTTTACTTCAAAAACTCAATACACAGTTCTGCCAATATGATAAATATAGGAAGCGGGCGACATCATACACGTATCGATATTCCGATTTTATTAATTTAATGAATCACAGAACCGACACAGAGCGAATCCGACTCGGATAGATTAGGTTAGAAGGTTCAGGCGGGAGCGGAGCAACCGCCTTAACCTTCGATGTTAGGTTTTTTTTTATGACCACCAAGAAATACGAGCTGAATTGACATATTGACAACAAAAAAAAATGGCGGATTTCTATAGTAAAAATCACACTATTTCATTATTTATTTTTTCGAGAACTAGAAGCGACCGCCGAATTCTGATTGTTGATAAATTCATAAGTGATTTTTCTCTATCGTTTAAAATTTATTTGATTTGAATTACGCCGGAGTTAAAGTTATTTACATTTACCGTCATAACTTTACTTTTTCTTTATTTGCTTTTTAACCAAGGTAATGATAGGATTAACAGGAATATAATCAATCAATTTTACATACATCTGATGTGGTAAAAAAATAACATTAATATTATAAGTAGTCTATACAAAATGGAATATGAAAATTACCCGTGCTCACACATCCAAATACACAATGTATAGAAATAGGCAAAGTTACAACACAAAACTTACCTTACTAATAGCTACCAAAATATCGCAAAAATTAATTAATGGCGTCCAAGACATTGAAAAACACAAGCCGTCGTAAGTTTAACGGAGAAATCTTCAACTCGACCCTAAACACACTTTTACTCAATTCAAAGAAATTTGCAATTCGTACTGCCACAAATACAAATGCAGAACAACAAGGATTAATTAATAAATGCGCACACGCAATTAAAAAACATCAAACATTTGGACATTTTAAAATTGTTAGGTGACATTTTTTTTTTCACCTTTCTTCTAGTTTATAACATTGTATTACAACTATATCACTTATATATAGTGACCTCTAGTTAAAAAAAAAAGAAAACATAACATTTGTTTCAAGATCCTTTATGAAAGATATCGCTACAAAAAATACTCGATCGGCATTGTATAGGAGTTTCCCGCCCCGCAGGACGGCCAAACCACTGACGGTCTTGCGCGGCGGAGTACAAGCGGTGGGCGGAGCTTGCAGGTCCCTTGCAGGATGCAAGGCACGTCCTGCTCGGTGTTGCCAGAAACTGTGCAGGCCTGCAACACCATTCACGATCCTGCATAAAGCGGCGGACTGCACGCGGACTGCAAGGCAGGATAGTGAATGGGCCCCTTAAACGAGTGACATTGAGAAAAAATAATTAATTGAAGATTAATTAAAAGTCGATTATTAAATATTAAAAATTAATCGATTTTGTAAAAAAAAAATAATTAGAAGAAATAATAATCGATTTTTGAAAAAACCCTGTATAGCAATAAAACTTAAAAGAGATTAGTAAGTTCACAGTTTACCAGAATCAAAATGTACTAATCTGGTACGTACTTGTAACCTCATTTTTTTTTTGTTCAAAGATCATTTTTAATTTATTTCAAACATTATGAACACCACCAGATTAGAAATTCCTGCTTTACCGTCTAAATACAATAACCTATTCATGAGCACTAAAACTGTTCGCTGAACGAATCAATAGGGTGACCAACGGATAAACAAACAATTTTGGAATTGATGTTTTTCTGGTTATTTCTTGTCAAAATAAAATATTAATATTTTTTTGAATTATGGAATACTCAATTAATAATGTCAAAGTATGTACTTAGTCTTAAAAATCACCCTGTATACATACAGATGGCTGTTCACAAAAATCGTTTAAAAAGTTAAATTGATATAATCGATTTAGAGAAAAATAATTTTTTTTAATCGATTAGATGAAGAAAAGTAATAGATTAATATGAAAACCGATTATTTTTTCACAACCCTATAAACGAGTAATAATATTAACATACTAGGTACCACTACCAGTATATATGTCCTATCTGTGAGTACCAAAGAGTATCTACCTAACCTACTTTTATATATCTGAAAATCCGAAACTGACGTGACGAGTACATTGTTGTTTAACTTAAAATTGCTTTGTGGCTATATTGTTTATACTTTAACATAAGATGTTCAAATTAAAATTAACTGCGTTAGGACATCCAAATCCTGACATCTTCAACTGTGAAGGTGAACATAATATCATTTTACTAATTTTGTCCTTATACTATCTGCTCAAAAATAATTTATTATAATTTTTATAATATTATAGATCTGAAAGAATATAGAAGCGTTGTCCTTTGGCTTGAAGACCAAAAAATAAGACATTATAAAATAGAAGATAGAGAAGGCTTACGGAACATCGAAAATGACAGTTGGAATGAGGCATATGATTCATATCAAAGGGATTTAGTAAGTCCTGTAGCAGATGGGGCACCAAACGAACAATTAAATTGGCTTTTGTCGTATGCTGTAAGATTAGAATATGCTGATAATGGTCTGTTGTTTTTTAAATACCTTTCTATATAGAAACAAAGTGAAAATAATATAAATACTTATAAAAATATCCACTGGTCCAAAAAATAGTGTAAAGTAATAAGTAAAAATTAAATTTTGACTATTTTATAAACATAATTTAAAAATATGTATAAATACATAGGCAAATGTAAATAAGATAAATCAATGTATTATCAATGATTATACCTATGGAAATTATTTTTTCAGTGACAAAATATAAAAACGCAAAAATTGATCAGCCAAAGAAAGCAGCACCAAATGTTGTTTCATCTAATCCACTAGACAATCTTAATTGTGAGTCAATTTTTATATTTATTATAACCAGTTACTACCTTTTATATTATAGGGCATAGGAATATATACTTATATGCAGATATTCCTATTGCAAATTTATAACTTTAAATCCATGAGAATTTTTTCTGTATCAATAACTATAAAATAAATTACCTACATTGCAACTAATACATAATTGCATTATGTAAACAAAATATACTTAACAATTATGAAATACATACACATAATTACATAGTGATTGAAATATTGAAAATTATATAACCAGGTAACCATAACAACAAAAATATGAGAATTGTTTTCCATGGTTATTGTAATGTACATATAACAATCCTTGAGTAGTAGTAGTTTGTTCCGCAAATTCCCGTGACATAAGAAAAAGATCTTCCTTGGAGGTTCAGTATCACAATAGACCTATTTGTATGCATTTTAATAATTTCAAATAAATAAAATAGAAGAAGACTAACAATTTGTGATAAGTCGTGTAAAAAGAGTCAAATAAATTAATAAACAATATAAATATTTTAGGACACATTTTTACACATTCTCTAGTCCCAAACTAAGCATCGCTTATACTATGGGTACTAGATAACTGATAAACATACTTTTCTTTTGTATATAAATACATAATTACACATGTAAACAACCAGAAACTAGAAAAACATAATGAATACAATTAATATCTCTAATATAGTTAATGTCTAGTAAAGGGAGGTCTGTCAGTATTACCATAGTTGAACTCTCGTGCAAAGGGTTCAATAACAATATCTATAAAAACAGCAAAAAAAATCATGTCTGTTGTATGGGGCCCTACTTAAATATTTTAACTATCAAAATTAAGGACAGCGTAGTCTTATTAATAGTGTCCCATTTTACCTAAAAAGAAAAGCATAAAATTATTTTCCAGTCTTGCCCACTTTTTAGAGTTCCATACCCCCTAAAAAGTATGCAAGACTGGAAAATAATTTTATGCTTTTCTTTAGGTAAAATGGGACACTATTAATATGACTACACACTCTGTCTGTTTTTTGTCATTTTCTCTTGTTCATCTGGAATAGCATGTTGTCTTAAATAATGTATCATATCTTATGATTAGCTGTTATCAGCATTATAATTTATCATATTGTCGTTTCATTTTCAGTTTCAAGTCCTGCTTTTATTAGCGGAGTAGAACGAGTATGTGCACTGACTGGAGTTGGACCCCATTCTGATCCAAAGCTTCGGTTAGCGGCTGTAGCAAAAATTTTAAAGACCTCTCCCCATCCTGATTACCCAAAAACAGAAGTGAGTGTAGTGCAGCAGCCAGGAGACGTCCTAAAGCTTCTATTCATACAAGACCTTCGAGATTTGCAGACAAAAATTAATGAAGCTTTAGTTGCAGTACAAAGTGTAACTGCCGATCCACGCACTGACACTACACTTGGAAGAGTGGGTAGATAAACATTATGAAACTCATTCAAATTAAAAAGTACTAAGTCTGATTAAAATATTTTAATATATATGTATGATCTTCAAATGTACAACTTTTATTCATTTAAATAAACAATTTGCAAGATTTGTTTCTATTTTATTTCACTGCACACATTTTAAACTATATGTATAAAGCTCTCCCGAACCTTAAAAAGTCAATCTTCTATTCATGCCTGGTTTCTGGAACACTGATCTTCGTAGATGTCAACTAATCAGCTGTCAATGGCTTTTAAAATGTTATTTATGAATTGTTAAAATCTTTGAATTGATCATTCTGATCAATTCAGAGTAGTGTTGCACAACCATTGATAGTTTGACTATCAATAGTTGACCTAGAAAACTATTCAGGATATTGATTGTACTACCGATAGTATCATCTAAATCAATAACAGTATTGATTATCGATAGCCTCAATAGGTTTGTACTATCGATAGCCAGTAAAAGGCTATTGATAGTACAAAATCATCTATAGTTTCGAGTTTTTGACAAACTAATGTAAATTGCAATACTATTGCATGCATTACTATCAATGGTGGCACTTGGAGAGCCTTTGATACTATTGGTAGTATCGACTGTATTGACTCGTGACAATACTATTGATAGACTACCTTAACTATAGATAGATAATCGATTGTCTATCAATATGCAACATTAATTCAGAGAGTTTCACCAACCAAACCGGCAAAAGATGAACCATAGAGTCAAAAGCATAATAAAAGTCTGCAGATAATAACATAAACAACACAAGAGCACTTAATATTTATTCATAACAATAAGTGTCAACAATAGAAAATAAGCAATATTCCATTATGACAATGAACTTGGGCTAAAATTATTACTATACTAAATAATTATTAAAAAAATAGATTAGTGCATGCCACCTCTTTTTTCCAGCATTTGTGCAAATCTGTTTGTTATAAGAAGTGAAACATCTATAAATCTCTCAACACAGTTTGTTATACAGGTTTCAGTCCGGGAATCCAGTTTTGTTCCTGGCTTGTCCACACATTTCTCCCAACAGAAGTCGTTAAACTCATGGATCTAAAAATTCAAATATTAAGAGAACTTTTATCTTAACGGGTTCAAGACTGTGTAATATTAATATTATATTGTAAAAATCAAAATGAATTAAATATATTTAGGAACCTTATTTGTTGCAAGGAAGCAAATTCAAGATGCAAGCAAGTCAAAATGAAATGTTGTTTCTTTTTTAGAAGATATGAAGCACAACAAAATAATAAAACATACTTGGGCATGAAACTGTGCTTTCTGCTTTTCTGCCATAAGGAAATCTTGTAGCTCTGAATCAGCGCCTTTTGGACTCGGGAAGTCTGATAAATCGGTCATATTGTATTTTACGACTTGTAATATTCAACAGTAATTTGAGGTTAGCAGTTAGCTTTTTTTTATCCCTTTTTTGATAATTTAATTTGGTCTAAACTCTATGGTCTCTATGTACCTTTTTTTATGGCCTGGTATCGAGCAACTTTAGGCCACTCTGTGTAACGCCGGTCCCAAACGTGTACAAATTTTTGTAAAGATCCTAAAGATCCTCGTATGATATGCGTGGGAGGATATTTTCAAAATATTTCTTATTTTTTTGTTATTTCTTATTTGCCATAACGGATTTTCAACGTACATCAAAACGAGCAAACAGTAAATATTCGTAGATGCTCCTATATGTTGTAGGATCCGTTGTACTTGCCAATAGAATGGAAGGAAGGTGGAGCTGTCGAGGAGTGCTTTAAATAGCAAAACTAGAATTGAAGGCAAAACCCTTCCTCCTTAGCTCCTGCATGCGCTTTTTGACCTCTAATTTTGTAACAAGGTTTTCAAAAATTTTAAAAAGTCATTGTGTTTGCGTTTTTTAGAAACGTATAATAACGAAACTTAACAGTCTATCCGGCGTAAAACAACGAATGTTAACTTTCGCGAGATTACGCTGCATCGGCGAGTGTGAACCAAAGACGGAACTACCACTATCGCTAGTTTACGCCGCAGTGATGCGCGCCTGGCGTGCAAAATTCTTATAGCTATTTTGTTAATGTTTTTTTTATTCTCTATTAATAAAATATATTGTGTGATGAGAAAGTTACCCTCCCGCGTAAAATATCGAATCGGGTAGATTCGATTGTTTATGACGGGTTGTAATTTCCTAATAGTATCGAAAGTACCGGTTTCGATTACCTACGTGGTTTTTTCATAATATAATTCTATCGAAACTGACGATTTCGATACTTTACGTTGTATTACAAAGTCAAATTTCAATTGGAAGTGCCACTTTCGATTGTTTTGGGTGGATTTTATTTCTTTTTTGTAAAGATTCGATATAGGTAAGTGCTTATATTAAAGTGAAGTAACTTACTTATAATATTTATTTTCTGTGATTCATAAAACTAGACTTTCTTAAATAATATTTTTATTATTTTTATTTAATTTACCTACTTACCTCCTTCTTTTTTTAGAGTCACCGATACCCACCAACTGCGTCTTCAATGATTGGAAAAATATAAAGGATTTGTTTGGACGATGAATTGATGGACACAACCACAGTTTAACTTCAGATGCAACTCGGTTATCATCGAAGACAGTGACCAAAGTTCACCAATTTTCATGAATAGCAGGGAAATAACTCTACTACCTTCCCCAGATTTAGAAGTCGGGTCTCCCGTACAAGAAATAGTATTCTATAAATAGGGTTCTTGTTCGTCACTTTGACTTGAGGTAATACTATTATTACCTGAAGTCAAAATGCAGAACAAGAACCCGAGTCTTTCGAGTTAGGTCTTAACAGTTAGGTGAGCATTATGCTAAACCTATAACATATTTACCAAGTGCAGACTCATGCATAACTGTTTCGGAATGTAATTCTCCATGTAGGAGTACAGGAAAAGAAAGAAAACCCATTTTTAAAACAACTCCGGAAAAAAGATCAAGGTATCCCGTAAAAACGAAAGTTCTGGTCAGCAATACCTCAGTCGAAATGGAAAGGAAATCATACTAGGTAGTCAATGGGAGTTTATCAATAAGTTAACCCATAAAATTAATAAAACCAAGAAAACAACTTACGTCCAAATTTTTTTTTATCAGCATATTTACACCACAACAGTGTGTTACATCCTAGGGTTCCAGATGTGTTGACAACCATTTGAAAATTGGGCTCCGGCTACCTCAATCACCAGACGAAACTCGATAGTCGATAGTATTACACTTCCACTTTACGCTGGTCTTCTGTGAGGTGGTGGTACTTACCCGGACGGGCCTGCCCATTCGTGCAATAGCAGAGGCTGCTGCATGGCCCTACCACCGTAAAATAACAAGCCGCCCATGCACACTTGCAACCCCGCGTAGGGTTACAGATGCGTTGCCACCTTTTAATAAAGTGGGATCCGGACACCTCACTCACCAGACGAAACGCAGAAATACAACACTTTCACTTCGCCAATTTAGGGCCACGCAATTTCTAATTTATTTATTTATTTAATCTTTATTGCACTAAAAATTGTACAAAGGCGAGCTTAATGCTATATTGCATTTGTGCGTTTTCTAATGGGGAGGAATCCCATCAAAGGATCATTGGCTGTATAAATCGATAATTGCGAGGGCGGGAGGTTGGGGGTGGATAATGGCGAGAAATTATCAGTGGCCTATCATTTCTCCTTTAGGTTTTATATGAACTATTAGGAGGCGGCGCTTCTCGGCGCTGTTTTCGTCAGCATGATATTGTTCGAACACACAGGTGGCTGTGTCAGTCATGTTAACAATGTTAAAAAAAATTAAAACCATTTACATGATTGTAGCTTATAATTAAAAAGCTGTAATAATGAAGAGAGATGAATAACATAACAAGCATTTATCATAGACAATGTTTATCAATAAAATTCAACATTTTGTCGCTAATTAATTTTTGTTTTTCACTCAAAAATACGTATTTGGCAGCATTCAGAGCTAATCTAGCTATTTGTGATTTATCCAGTGTGAACATATCTAAGCAAATATTATATTCTTGTGTTAGTGAAGTGGAAAATACTCCTTTATCATCAGTCTGCAAACATAAGATGTTATGAAAAAAGTCCTACTCCTAAAGCCATCCTGAAACTGATATATTCATGTTCTTTTATTACTTACACAGAGAATTACTGGAACATTTGCACTATACAAATATTTAAAATGATGTGAAGAAAAATCAGGTACAGATTTTGTGTTAACATTACTGGATAAACAAACCTCTGAAAATATAAAGTTTTAGTTAAAATGTAATAAATTATTCAATGAAAAAAATTTTAATACAACAATTCTTAAGAGTCATACCAACAGGTATTCCAGATTTACATAAAACCTCCCAAGTCTCATCAGTGCCTCCAAATTTAGGATGTATACAAGTTCCATGGCCAATTCTATCAGGTTTAAAATTCAGCATTTGTAATATTTCTTCTGGATTTCTTATTTCACCACAATGTAGTGTCACCTATAATTTCCAATTTGTTAAAAATAGAGTATAATAAAATATTTATAAGCATTTGGTAAAATTTTTAATTACTTTTAGGCCAGCATGTCTTGCTTTTTCAAATATATTTATATAATCCTCAAATTTTCCGAAGCCAGGATCACCACTAAGTTCCATTCCTACCACAATACCTGGAAATTTCTTATGATACTCTATTGCAAGTTCAGATATTTCATTAGCTTCTATGACACCATTACTCCTATTAATGGATATAATAAGGGTTGAAATTATATTTAGGTTAGGTGAAGACTTTCTGTAAAAAAACATGAGTAAAAAAGAAACATAAGCAGGAAAGATGTAATATACAGTTAATTTTATTTGTAATTCAAGAAATAATAGTTTGCTATTAATACATAATAAATATCATTTCACTAGTGCATCAACATCATAATTGTGCAACCTTAATGATTTTATACTTATGATATTATACTTATTATATTTATGATAAGTGTATACTTATAACTTTTGACTGTAACACATACTGCATAGCCCCTATGATAGTATCTATGTACTGCCTTTTTGTCATATGTGGTGTATTTCGGGGAGTGCTCCTCAGTTCAATGTAACAACAGCCATCATTCTGAAATTCTTGCAGTGTTAAGGTAGTGGCCAATCCCAATGTTTCAGGAGTATTTGTTAAGGTATGTGCAATGCTAAATACTTGAAAACAACTGTAAGTAAGATCATTAATAGTAGCAAAATTTGCAAAGCTGAATAAAAAAAACGAGCACAATAAAACCAGTTCAAAAAGGAATTAACAACTATAACACATAACTTATTGATTTATAATGTCATAAGTTTAAAAATATATATTATACTCAGACAAATTTCTGGTATCACCAGCACCAATTTGGAATTCATCAAAAAAAGCATTAGTTGTATCTGACACCCCTGTATCTGCATGATATCTTTGTAGTTTCAACATTGTGGCGCGACTGAGAGATCCATTTAAGTGGGCATGTAATTCCTAAAACAAGTTTTTGTATTATTACTGCATTAAATCATACACAAATAAAAAATTTAGGCGGTAGGTAGAAAATTTGAAAACATAGGTAACTTAAACGTCCACCAACAGCATGAATGAATAATCTAAGATACTCACTATTTTGGGCAGTTCACGACAAAATTCTTCCATTCTGTTCAGTTAGAAAATTACAGAAAAAGAGCAAATACTACATTGAAGAGATGTTTAAAAATTCAAACAAACATTTTCGTGTTTTCCTATATTTATTCGAATTCAATCTAGTTTAAATTAAACTCATCTATTTATTAAACAAAAACCATAGATAAGACATCAAAAAACCTTTATTTTTCAAAAAAATTACCATTCTTTTTTCTTAGAACACTTAAACAGAACTTGTTCATAACGCGGTAGTCATTCATTAATACCTAAACTATCCACGCACACAAACGAACTTGTGTGCATGTAGTTAGGAATGATCACGATCAGGCGTAAAATAATTTAGTTGCGTACGTATAAATGACTCTGATACTATCGATAGCCCGATAGGTTTGTACTATCGATAGCCAATAAAAGGCTATTGATAGTACAAAATCATCGATATTATCGATAGTTTTTGTCAAAAACTAATGGCAATTGGACTACTATCGTATGCATTACTATTAATAGTATTGCTGTTATCGAGGGCACTTGGAGACCCATCGATACTATCGGTAATATCCACAGTATTGACACCTGACATACTATTGACATACTATCGATAGACTATTGATACTATTGCTTTTACTTTAAGTATCGATAGATAATCGAGTGTTGTCTATCGATATGCAACACTACACTGTGTAATATTTTCAGTATATATGTCCATAGAGTAAAGTAATACTACAGAAATATATAATGTATATATATGTCTTATCTATGCACACGAGTTACGAATATGTATGGAAATAATTTATTGTTATACCTTTTCGCGTTTTTCTTAACTGGAATCAATTCATCACCCAACAGACCTATAGTAATAACTACTTGGAGTTTTGTAAATTCTACAATTGCTGGTAAAAAAGAAAACTTCTCATTAATCACAATTACCTACTGTAGATAATTGTTGTGATTTTACAAATTATTACAAGTATAAAAGGCCGTAGTGTTTTAATAAGTATAAATTTTTTTTGCAGCTTGGAAAGTCTTGAGTAAAGGTGGCTCTGCAATAGATGCTGTACAACTGGGTGCTTCTGTGTGCGAGGAGCAGCAATGTGATGGAACAGTGGGCTATGGAGGAAGTCCTGATGAAGATGGTGAGACTACATTGGATGCTCTTTTAATGGATGGGTAACCTTTTTTTTTTTAAAAATAATATTTTAATACTCAGTGAAAATTAAATTACGAATTTATTAGTAAATTATTTCCCAAAATTGTAGCAAATTACTGATTAAATGAATGTGGCTTTCATTTTTATTTTATTTTAGTGACAAGTGATGTGGACATAGCGAAAACCATTAAGATATCAATTAAACTAAGAAGTATATACATTAGTATTATTAATTATTTCTTGAATGTTCTACATTTTTGTTTGTAAAAGAATAAAGATTATATTAAAGCAGTGAATAAACATTCCTAATACATTAAATTATGTATTTAAATTATCTCTGCTACAGGAAAACAATGAATGTGGGTGCAGTTGCTGCTCTACGCAGAATAAGAAATGCCATTGGGGTTGCAAGACATGTATTGGAAAATACAAAGCATTCCATACTTGTAGGCAGCCAGGCTACACAATTTGCTGTACAAATGGGATTCCATGAGCAGTCACTTACTACACCTGAATCTAAACAGCTTTGGACAACTTGGGCAAACAAGAATAATTGCCAACCAAACTTCTGGATGGTAATAACAAGTTTATTCCACAGATATATAGATTTGAAATGAATAAATATGAAAAAGGTACAAAATACTTGATACATGATTTTATCTAATCTTAGAATGTCCAACCAGATCCTAGCAAGTATTGTGGGCCATACCATTATCACAAACATGTAAAATCAAATATTGATGAAGGTCAGTCAATACAAGCAAGCAGATTTAATCATGATACGCATTGGTATGGTGGCGATAGATATAAATGGTGATATTGCTGCGGGAACTTCAACTAATGGTGCAAAATTTAAAATACCAGGGTTTGTATATTTTGTTAGCTTTTAATCAACAGTACCCGGAGGACCGAGCTTTGCTCGGTTTTTTTTTTTTTGGTAAATCATGTATTTTGGAAATTACAATTAGATACAAATTACTGAGTAATGAAATAAGCATAATATGTTTCGATCTTACCGACGTAATAATAAGAAAATATGAACTGATGTTTTTCACAAAAGAAAGAACTTTAAAAAAGAAAGGGAAAACAATAACAAAATAACAAATCGACAAAAAATTAAAAATAAAGAAAGCAATGATCTGGAATCAAAAAAAAAAGTAAAAAAAATAAATGTGTAAATGATCGTGACGCGAACCACGGCCGTCTGTTTTGGGGCCGCCGGATTACCGACCGAGCTATTTTGACATTTTCTCTTGCGGCGAAATTTACCGTCATTTTCGAATTATATTTTTCATTCCCTGAAAACAGGGATAAAAGGACATTTTCTAAAAATGAAACCTAGCTAGATCGATTTTTCGCCCCCGAATCTATGCACATAATAAATTTCATGAAAATCGCTGGAGCCGTTTTCGATATTCCGATTATTTATATATATATATATATATATATATATATATATACAAGAATTGCTCGTTTAAAGGATAAGATGACAATGAAAACAAGTTACTTCTTTCATGTTAGTAAATTTTCCTCATGGAATTTTATTACTTCCTCTTCATGTAGGTCTTCTATGAGGCTGTGGTACTTACCCATATGAGCCTGCCCATTTGTGCAAACATCACAATCACAGTATCAATAGAAGTGGGAGAAAAGATAAATGATTTGGGAAGAAGCTTTGGATTTAGCCACTCTACAAAAAATATCATACTAAAAATAACACAGGCAGGAATTCCTTAAGGTGTCCATAATTTTTGAAAAATTTAAAATAGTCTTTGGAAAAAAAATAAAAAAATATTAACGTTAAACAAAATCCATAGTTTAAAAAAAAATATTTTTCAAACAAACGAATTAAATTAAAAAGACACAAAATTTGTAACATCCTATACAACTCGCGCCATAGCGTCGCATTACAAGCCTCTCCTTCTAACAGTATGTTTTGTCTCTTTTAAATCCATTCAACCATATTATTTTAATAGGAGAGTTGGGGACTCCCCAATACCAGGATCAGGTGCATATGCTGACAACATGGTTGGAGCTGCCACAGCCACTGGGGATGGAGATGTGATGTTAAGATTTTTGCCAAGGTATATTCTGTTATATTTAGGTTCCAAACCCATTAGATTTTTAAAGTACCTTTGGGGAATTAGTTGCCTAAATGTGAGATCATTTATACCTTGCAATTGGCTTTATTATTTCATAAGTGTCAATTCTTGCGGACTTTTCAAACAGGTTACTGTTTTCATTGACAACTAAAATGCTTATAGTAGAGCAAAACTTTACTTGATGGTAGTTCTTTTATTATTATTTGTTTGACTGGTAAAGGAGGAACCACTTTGCTCTTTACGCTTTACACGAGCGATATACCTAAAGACCCCCACGTCAATCTCGCGCTTTTCGCGGATGACACGGCGCTCTTTTATTCAAAGCGCCGCCGCCCGCCTCGGCGATTGGTTCCACAAATGGAGAATATAAATAAATCCCGAAAAGAGTGTGGCGATTCACTTCACAAGAAGTACTTAACCGTCACATCTTTCTTTATAATGGCCCTCGCCAATGCAGAAAGTTGGGGCAAATATCCCTTTATGGCCAACCGCTCCCCTGGGAGAAAAAGGTCAAATACTTAGGAGTCACTTTCGACTCGCGTATGTCATTTACACCACACATTAATAACGTTCGCAATAGATCCGCGTTCGTCTCCGGCCGGCTACACAATTTAACTAACGCTAAAAGTAAAATGCCCTTAAGGCACAAATTATTATTATATAAGACCTGCGTACGACCTATTATGTCGTACGCATGCATGACCTTCGCCCACAGGCACCCTACTCGCTTTATTGAAGTAATAACATGTGATTCCTTCCAGTTTTTTAGCTGTTGAAGAAATGCGTCATGGATCAACGCCAAAAAATGCCGCTCTAACAGCCATTAAGAGGATAGCTACACATTATCCAAATTTCATGGGAGCTGTGATAGCTTTAAGTAAGGATGGCCAGTATGGTGCTGCATGCCACGGTCTTGGGAATTCACCATTCCCCTACGTTGTTTATGATAACAGCGGGGTAGAGTTCAAAATTTATACAGTGAAATGTTCATGACAATTTATTTAACAGCTCGAATTATACAATTCTGTTAAACTTGTAATAAATGATAATTTTATGATTATTTGTCTCAAATCATTCTGATTAAAGGATTGCATATGATAAGTTTATGACTATATAAACAGTGGCGGATTTGTAGTCTTGGCCGCCCTAGGCCCCACCCAATGTAGTAAGTTTCAGCCGCCCCTTTTTCAGCGCCCATCATATATCTTGTTATCATCAGTGAATTTTTTGTCACGATTGGCCGCCCTAGGCCCGGGCCTATTGGGCCTTAGGACAATCCGCCACTGTATATATATATATTTCTTCACCTAGGTACTCTATGAGTCTTCTGTTGTCGTATAACATGTTTATACATAAAATGTTATTGTTGTATGTTTATTGTTTAAAGTATAACATTCAATGTTGTAGGTATTTGAATTTCATAGTTTGATGTTAGTGACCAAGTATTTGGTAGGAGTGAGGCGTATTTATCGGTAACAGGTAGTTATTATAAAAGGTATCCTGACCTGAGATAACAGATTGTACCTGTTACGAACTTAAATAACACTTCCTGTTCCATACAAATTGTTCCTTAACACACCGTCACAAGCTTTTCTTTATTCATGATTACAACTTAAAAAAAAAAAAAGAGATAAAATCTGTTACACCTACACCCTGTAACAGTTGTTACTGAACACTTTGTGACTGTCACAAGCTCTTTATTTTTTTGCATCGATCAAGCTTTGTTATAAAAAGAAGTACGGACATGTAAGTGTTAATTTCTTCTACCTGTTACTTGTTTCGTACATGCGAAGTACACACAAACAACTAACTCTTACCCGAGTACAGTATGTTACTACAGCTGTTACTCTAAGTTACACAAATTATTACAATATAATATAACAGGTATTTGTCCTTGTTAAGTATCAGGAACAGGCATAATACGAACGGATTTACATTATTTAAGTAGTATTTTAAAATGTATGTTAAATCCAAATACTAACACAAACAAGTCTAAACACCAGTACTAACACAATTGAAAATGTTTTGAATATTGGGAATCGTATAAAGGAGACACCTTTTTATTAGCAAGTTAAGTATTAAATGTTGACATACTATGCAGAATTTTTATTTCACAAATTTATGAACATATATAAAAAGTGACAAATGAAGTATTAAAATGTCACCAACTAGGTGAAGTTACTACTCTACCTACCTAATGTATAAATCATAATTAAAGTTCTTTGGATATGCTACTAGCTGCCTGGGATTAGTGAAATAATTGTCAAAGTAGGTGCCTACAATTGTCTCATATATCTAAACATTTTTTTCAATAACTATTTTAAAAAATTAGATTAGGGCATCATTGTTCCAACAAAAAGTTTTACAGGTAGAACATAGTTGAAAAGAAATGTCCAAATTAAGGATTCACAAATTTTATTTAGTTTAAAGGTTTAGACTTTGAGTTCAGAATATGGTGATTTAGTCAATGGGATATCCCGCCACAAGTCTGGTGTCAAGTAAGCGTAGGTCTTGGCAATCGCGGCATAGGTGGCTTTGGCGAAATTGCCCAAAGTACCGGTCGATCCGCGAGCTGATGTGTAGCAATCTTGAACACCAGCCATTTGAAGCAGCTTTTTAGGAACTGGAGCAGACACAATGCCAGTACCACGGGGGGCAGGGATGAGTCGTACGGTGACAGAGCCACACTTTCCTGTAACCTATCAAAATTAAGAGAATTAGTATATGTGCCTAGAAATTAACAAAGCCTTTTTTTAAATTCGGAATCAGACGCGTTAAAAGCTTCATTGGACGAACCTCAAGAGGATACCACGAATGAAATGTTTTGGTTTTCATCATTAAATTATAATTACAAAGTTAATAAAGTATGGCATGAAGTTACCTTGCATGGCACGGTGTGAGGCTTTCCAATCTTGTTACCCCAGTACCCTCTACGAACGGGAAGAACGGACAGCTTTGCGAGAATTATAGCACCTCTGATGGCAGTTGCTACTTCCTTGCTACATTTCACGCCAAGCCCAATATGTCCATTGTTGTCGCCAATGGCGACAAAAGCCTTGAAACGGGTTCGCTGACCGGCACGTGTTTGTTTCTGTACAGGCATGATCTTCAGTACTTCATCGTTCAAAGACGCCCCAAGGAAGAAGTCAATAATTTCGAATTCTTTGATGGGCAGAGAAAATAAATAGATGCTTTCAAGCTTGTCAATTTTGTTTTCTCGTACTAAACGACCCAACTTGGTTACGGGCACCCATTCCTTCTGGTCTTCTTTGCCGCGACCACGGCCACGTCCACGACCGCGTCCCCTTCCGCGTGGACCCCCACGACCCCTGTCACCACCCCGAGAACCAAAGCCACCGCGAAAACCGCCACGTCCACCGGCTGGAGCTGCGTCCGCCATTCTGTACAAAAATTTACTTGGATATAAAGATTTGCATGAAATATTACAGCAAGATTGAAATAAAAATAAAATAATCAGACACTTTAAAGGCTATCACAGTGAAAGAACACTATAGTAGATACCACGAATGAAATGTTGAAATGCGTTTCATCATAAAAATTATAACACGTGTTGGTAAGGTTAGAATTTTGGAATCTTATTTTCTACTAACAAATCGCTACTTAAACTTCTATTCAATATTTAAAACTAAACTAGATATTAAGTAGAAAATCATTTCGAAAGTATATAAAACTTTAAAAATTTAAAAGAGTTAATATACAGCAAAGATTTACACTTACGTAGAACTGTGCATACAGCAGGACGGTCAATTACAAAATGGCCGAATATTTTATGAAAATTTGAACCTTCGCTAAGAATAGGGTTGTCATTTATTACTTGAGATATCGATTGATAATCGGTTTAATCGATACATAGTTGAAAAAAGTAAGCTAATTTTTAAGAGAAATACTATAATATATTTATAAATATATATAAATAAATTTAACGGTGGTAGGGCCACGCAACAGCCTCGGCTGTTGCACGAATGGGCAGGCCCGTACACCTCAGGTATAAAGTGGAAGTATGACAAGCGTTTCGTCTGGTGAGTGAGGTAGCCGGAGCCCAATTTTCAAAAGGTTGTCAACGCATCTGTAACCCTCGGGTGTAGCAGATATCCATGGGCGGCGGTATTCACTTACCATCAGGTGAACCGTCTGCTCGTTTGGCAACTTTTCACATAAAAAAAAAAAAAGTACTTCTCTTTTCAACAATACACAGGTATTTCAAGGATATATAAATAATACGATTAGATTTTTTGCGCCGGTTTCGTTTGTATTAGTTTTGATATATTTAAGTATCTATTAAAGTCATAGAATTAACAATGAATGCATTAGTTTGCCTTCTACTTAACAAAGATTAATTTAAAGTATTTGTTTATTACACTTAAATTGTATATTTAGTTATTCTGATTGAGATTTTTAAGAGGTGATATTATATAAACACTTGTCACCCATAGTCGTAGGTATATTATTTCAACTCTCCCGGTTTTTAGACGTTTTTTTTATCTCAAAGGACATCTGATAATGATATATTTTTGAAGATCGAGAATATGTCTGATTGTCTGATATACTTGTTGAATACGTGTACTCTTGCTTGTCAAGAGGTGCATAATCTGATAGGTTTATACGAACCATAAAAGCATAAAAGTTTAATAATGTAATGGTTAATAGGCAAAAAAGAATAATAAATTTTAATCAATATGATCGAACATCAATATAATCAACATGATCGACCAATTATGAATACGACTCAAGGCGAACTTAATTTAGCAGTAGTGTCATGGAGGATCATCAATATTAATTTGAAGATAAATTTGCAAGTGGTCTATATGCATGTGTTACGAGCAGTCAATACATTGCATCGTCCTAGAGGCTATACTTTGTCATCACGCATTTGTTAACGCATCCTTTAAATATTTTTTCTATATTCATAAAGTAACATCATTTACAATTAAATAACGGGAAATATTTTCACTATTAGTAAAACCCGGTAAGGGTCTTAAGTACAACGAATTTTGTTACATTTCAAGTGGTATTGATGTGTGTCTAATGTTAAACAACGTATTAAATAAAACGTATTACCGCGACACATAACGTGTTTATATCATAACTGAATGCGTTTTCACATCATCACGCTTTTTCATATAACATTTGACGTAGCTAGTACTTAGCAATGACCAGTTGATTACATCGTTCTCTTTCCCTCAGACGAGTCAAGCTATCTTTACCAGAACGAACGTCACATAGCCAAGCGTGACGGCTTAGTCTCATTCGATACACACACAAAACAAAGTTCTCAGCGCGTCTAAAGAAATTTTCATTTCGCTTCAAAAATAAATTTGTCAAATAAATAAGGAAAACTTAAAATAGGGCGGAGGTGATTGGGAAGTTCTGAATAAGAAAGGTTAGAGAGGGACAGTACAAAATCAAAGTGACGGGTCTGGAGCAGAAAGTAGTTTTATCTTTTAAGTTGGATATCATAGTTCTATTTCCCTGCACACAACTCTAAAGTTTGCCAAGGTAGCTTTTTAACAACTTCAGTACATACACTACATATTTTAATTTGAACTTCAGTATAACGAAAATCTTAAATGTGTGGAAGTAGGATGGAAGCTTTATAAAATATTGTTTAAGAACTCATGAACTAATTAACTGTACTCAACCCGATCTCAAATAATAGCGTATTTAGCGTAGCGTACTCAAACATAGCTCCGTAGGTATATGGTTTTTGGGTATTCACCATTTGTGAAACTCCCGAGAAAAGGATCGTGACCATAAATGTAACTTGTCGCCATTTGCTTTTATCCTGCGCCAGTTCAATGAAGAGTTTCTCCTGTTGTCTCTACAATACTTTTACTCCATCGTGTTGGAATTCGGCCCATGGAGCGCTTCCCCTGCTTCTTTCCCACAATCAACTTTAAAATGAAAATTTAACTATAAAATGTAAATCCTTTCTTGGCTGTAAGTTAATCATATGTGATATACATGTAAACAACTAAGTCTGTGATATACATGTAAACAAGTAAGTCTGTGGATTTTGTTACTCAATAAAATAAAAACTGCTTCTCCAGCTCATGCATTTGTGATCGCATTATACAGTATACTCGGCATATAAAGGTAAGTCGTTTTTTGATGTGGGGCTCTTGTAAAATTGACGAGTTTGTCCTCATGGCTCTCCATGGTATCTTTAGCATTCGTCTCCTGCAGCCCATTTCGAAAGCAAAATTTTTCAAATTCAAATTAAAAAAAGCAAAATCTCAAAACAAATTTGAGAAATAGAGGTTAAATATATGCTCATATTATCGGAAAAAACAGAAGGAAACCACAAACATCAGATGATTTGGCAATACCAAAAAAAATTTATCAATGCCACACATGAACTGGCGAAGAGTTGTTAAAGTGGTCAACTGGTCATTGCTAAGTACTTGCTATGCCAACTGTTATATGAAAAAGCGTGATGATGTGAAAACACATTCAGTTATGATATGAAAACGTTGTGTGTCGCGGTAATACGTTTTATTTAATACGTTAACTGTGAACATACACCGTATTTCTGTTGAATGAATTTTGAAAAGCCATTTGACAGTTGATTAGTTAACTTCTACGATAATCAGTGTTCCAGAAACCGGGCGTGATCATCTAAGAAATCAACTAACCAGCTCCTTGATACCGGGCCATAAAATCCAAAAAAAAAAAACTAACCAGCTGTCAGCTGTCAAATCAAGTCATTTGAGTTGCCAACTTGCCATTTCATTTAGCCGTCCGTGTGATAGTTATTGAAAAGTGTTCATTGGCGTATTCATTGAAAACCGCCAAAAAAGAAAAGAAGAAGAAGAAGTAGTTATTGAAAGAGATAGAGCAGTCTCCAGAATTGCATTCTAATTACACCAATTGTAATTTTGAATAAAATATCATTATTCATACTATTTCATTAAACTGTCACACCCTCCCTCTTTAGTCCGCTTCAGGAGAATTTTTGTTCCTAGAACTGGATGTCATAATCGTTATGCCTTGATGAGTCTCGGAGCAGTGAATTGCCATCTTTTTTATGGATTATTCTTTTAAGTTTAATAATATTTTCATGTTTTTATAAGATGAAACCTCCTTTACATGGGTAGTCTCTCCTATGTATGTTACCACATATTTAGAAAACTTAACATATATAGCCTGAGTAATAATGCGACTAATTAAAAGTTTTCTCATTTCACAATAAATTCTAGGGCTGATGAGATTAGTCTTTATTTATTCTTTAGTCTTTCCCTAATATCTATGATATAACAGTTAGAACAGCCTATACAACTAGTTATAAATAGTAATAATCAAATGGTAAACTAATGTGTAATGGTCCAGCTAAAGGCCTCTGTTATAGTAATAATAATATTATTATAGTATCAACTATACATTAATTATTTTTTTTAATAATAAATATTTTTTTTATGTGAAAAGTTACCAAACAAGCAGATGGTTCACCTGATGTTAAGTCAAAACCGCCGCCCATGGACATCTGCTACATCCGAGGGTTTGCAGATGCGTTGACAACCTTTTAGGGAATTGGGTTCAGGGTACCTCATTCATCAGACGAAACGCGAACGTATTATACTTCCACTTTACGCCGGTCTTCTGTGAGGTTGTGGTACTTACCCGGTACGAGCCTGCCCATTCGTGCAACAGCTGAGGCTGCTGAGTGGCTCTACCACCTTTGAAGTCTTAGATTCCAATCAAAACTTTTATTTCATGCATTAAATTCGCTCCGCATTTTGCTAGAATCTATCAAACTCCTGGAAAACCAGCCTTCCAAAGCCTGGTTAAGTTATGTAAAGTTTAAGGAATATAATCAGTTACCTTAGTCACTTTAACAATCAATGTTTATACATATACTGTTTCTCAGTGACAAAATAAATTTCTTATATTACAGGAAATGACTTGGTGGCGCAGTTTCCATGCCCTTGACTTCGGCGCCAGAGGCGTGGGTTGGTTCCTACATGGGACAAGTATTTAACACCCACAGAGATTCCTGATCTGGGTGTTTTTTGCGAAGGATTTCGAAAAACCTAACCAATACCATAAACAAAATGATTCACATTTTGTGCCGATAAAAGAGGGTATAACGAGTTTTGGGGAAAAAAAGAATCTTAACTAGTTTTTAATAATGGTTTTAAGGAGATATATTTTAACAAGTCTCTTTAAATAACTTAATCTTGCTGTGGAGTAACTACCCTAATGTTCATTGTATTTTACGTTCAGTAAAAAGTTATGTTTTAAAACGTAAAGAAAACATAATCATAAATTTGTTTTATTATTTTTATATTTTTTTGCTTGTCGTTTTTGGTCCATGAATATATTTTAGTTTTACTTCTTTTGTATTACATATTCGTCCTAAGACATGTGATTTTGGTAAAAGAATTCTGAGCTATATGGTTGATTATATAGCCTTCATTAAGATATTTGTTCCAAGAAGTTGAAAGATACCTGCACTGGTTTCTTTTCAGTCCTTTGTTAATATATTGTTACTATGTTTTATTAAACTCTTTTACTTCCATCTCAAATAAGTTTATTGTGTGATCGCAAACTTTCTGTAAATCTTTAAGACCTCTTTTTAATACTTCCAATGCAGGTGTTTCTTTAGTTTGTATTCTAAAATGCATTTTAGCTTCTGCTGGATGTGGGACTGTGTATCCACAGAAGTCAACATCATCACTGAAAAGTAGATGATTATTTAAACATTGATTTTATGTAATGTGCATATATCATTATAAATAAAAAAATCAAATTATTATAAATAATTAACTTTGTTGATTACTATGTAATCATTAATTTAACATTAAAATATGAGCAATATATTTATGCAGTTACACATTTTTGAACATGACAACAGAAGCTGAGTAGAGCACTAACAGTTCACATGACAACTAGTGCTGTACAAATAGGCCAGATTAACCTGATAAGTACTGCAGCTTCACACTTTCGCAGTTGTTAACATGCTGCACCATCATCTCTAGTTTTTCATGTCCATAGTGTCCACTTAAGATCAGGTGAAATGATGCTCAGTTTTTGTCCCTTTTAAATTAAATTGGCTTAATAATATGATAATTTACATATTTATGAAAAGGCAGTAAACAAGGAATATTTTTATTACTCCCATATAGGTAATGGCTAAAAGATATGTAATGCAAATACTTACTATCTATTAATAATACATTTTAGTGCATTGCCTAAGGTGTGACTTTCGTCCTGGAACACATATGTACGACATGTTAAACCAGATTCTTCATCCCCTGGAAGCTGCAAAAGATATACAAGTAAATTATATGTACAAAATATCTCACGATATAACTATCGATGACACCATATTAAAGTTTTCGTAAACTTAATTTTTATACGAATATATGTAATGATTTCGTTTGTATATTATTTACCTCAGAGATTTTCATTCTTACTATATAATTAAAGTATCGTTAATTTAATAATAACAAGTATGTCAAGTCAAAGTTTAAATTGGGCTATTAGGACTTCATAGAAAAGAAAGGTTATGAATTTTGAATATGTTTGTTTATGTTGTATCTTATATCTCACCTCACTGCACTGACATTTCAGTTTCACATTGTCACTTGAGTTGTCAGTTGTCAGTATGGATGAGATACGGTTTTTTTTACTAGAGTGATTCAAGAGGAAGGTTTATATGTATAACTAGTTGTGCCCGCGACCTCGTCCGCATGGAAATTAAAATAAAAAAAAATCTAATATAAAAGTAGCCTAAGTTACTCCTTACTTCATCAGCTATTAGTCAGTGAAAATCCCGTCTAAATTGGTCCAGCCGTTTCAGAGATTAGCCGGAACAAACAGACAGACAAAAATTGTAAAAAGTGTTATTTTGGTATATGTACCGTGTATACATCCATATGCATTTAGTAAAAAGCCGTTAATTTAATATTACAAACAGACACTCCAATTTTATTTATCTGTATATAGATACATTGCACGCGAACGAATCTGGAGTGGGTCGCTAGTTATATACATATACGATTTACGAATAACCTCAATAATGAACTACATGTCCATTTCGCTTCTGAACCATGTTTATAACCTGCTTTCAAAAGTGATCACTAATCATGACACACAGGTTCATGATTTCCAGCCTTCCAGAACAAGCATTCAAGTTTCCGTAAAGGCATTCATACGCTGCGACAAATTATAGAGAAGACTAGTGAGTAGACGGCAGGGCCATAGCTCGAGGAACCGATGGCCGTTGGTGCAGAAAGATTGCTGTATGATTCAAGCTGAGAGAGCACAAAGATCATTCCTCATTTGACAGCTGGTTAGTTGACTTTTACGATGATTAGTGTTTGTAAGAAATTCTCGACTTAAGACACACGTTTATTCCGTCCCTCATTGGTACATTCCTGAGAAATATTTATCGTCGGGTACATGAAGCGTCACATGTACTGTCCTCCGCTATGAATGTTGCTAAAATGCAATAAGTCATTGATATGCAGAATAAACTAAGTGGAGGATAGTGTGCAACATTTTCGGACACATAAGGAAAATAAAACAAAATTTCATATTGCATAATATACCTATGCATTGAAATATTATTAATTAATAAGTAAAACTTTATTGAATACATTCCAATTTATTTGATTAAGGTTTAAAAATAATCCAATAATTTAAAAAACATGGGTCACGCTTTTTAGATGTTAAAATGATTCTTTATACTTCATTATAATTTTTTGAATATTATCCTGTTACTTGTAAATTGCGTGCTTTATCTAACCAGTCTGAACGGGATACGTAGCTTCCGCATAATACCCTATCGCCAGTAAAACTAGTTCTGCCATGAAGTACACGAAAGTTATCAATTGCAATAACGGTACCTGCAAGTACGATATTAAATTAAAAATATGGTTTACAAATTCAAATAACATATATAATTTTGCTAAATTTTTGTTCATTGGATTAAAGGATTAATTTAATGAATGTTTATAAGGCATTTTTTACTGTTTCTACCTGGTTGGAGTTTAATTTGCCATTGGTGTGAAGGATCCTCGTAGTACTTTGATAAGTTTTTAAGTGCTCGGTAATAAGTTCTACATTCTTCTCGGCTAGAGAAAGCCATGGGCGTGCGGTCATATACGTTAAATCTACAAAAAATATAAGTGTACTTATGTATTGAGTGTACTTAGATGGCTAAGAAGTTATACTTCTTTAGTGTAACGAAAGAACGATAACAAAAAAACTTATCCCCTAGTGCTAGTAGTCTTTCAGTTCACGCCGAAAGAAGTATAACTTCAAAAATATCAAACTTTAATCCTAATATTTCTCTGTACAGCTCTTTTTAAGAATTATAAAAGCCAATATTTACTGGCGGGCTAGGGGAAATTAATTAAATGTTAACTAGCATTAAGTTTTAATGACATTGATTTTTATAGTGCTATATTCTCTGCACTTAAGACGAGAGTCCATACAAACTCCTGTTTCCAAATTCCGGCAGTAGCAAAAAACTTTTCACCCATTTTTCTACTTCAGCATTAAGTTTTTTTACTTGCTAAATGGAGAATTTTTAATAAAATTCTCTAAGTCTGAACTTAATGATAAGTCGTTATTGATACGAGTATATCTCCGCGTGGTCGTTAAATATTCCAGCATATTTTACCTTATTTGCCTGATTTCATTCATTTTATCGACAATTATAACAGGTGCTGTATAATTGTAGTGGTGTCCATCTTCTAAAAATTCAGCGTCAACATCAAATGTCGTAAGAAATTTATAGTCGTCAGGAAATTCCACTTCCAAACGCTTAGCCCCGTAAAACCCATCCACCAAAATGGTTTCCCCGCCAGTCCCGTTCGTATGTTCCATACCGTGGAAAATCTGTAGACTGTGAGAAAAAATGAATTGAACATACAAATAAAATTTGTTATGTTTGTAAATAGTTCATGCAATTATTTATAAATTTCATAGTTACTCAGCAACATAAATATATACATACAAGCTTAGCTTGTCATGCTTAAATTCTACAGTTTACAATAATTAAGGAATTTACCCCGCCGCTTCTGTGAAATATGTGTTATCCGTGTGAACTGCTAATGCGATGTTAGTATAGGCAGTATCCGCATGTTCGGGCTTAACGTACACAAACCACATGCCACCGAACATTGTGTGTTGCACACCGCCTAAGGCGGTAACCACTTCCTCTGTGGCTTTCATCGTTGGCTCCACCTGAAGTATTAGCTAGATGGGTAAATTTTGTAGCAATGTTTTAAACCTACTTACACTAAACTTTGAGTTCTGTCACACAGTGAAGTTGACCCAACAATTTGAACTATATACTATTGTATCACTAATTTGGCCCAGTTTCCAAGCTTCTTGGCTATGATACATACCTTAGGTAGTAGTATTCGTGATTCCGACGTATTTGTGTGACCCACAAATAAAGTCAAATCTAGTACTGGTACTTTTCTAAAAGAGTCATCTGACCTAAAAAAACTAGTCAGTGCTACTAACAATATCATTTGCGTGCAGTGCGATAAGATGATAATGAAGATTTACACATACGAATGGTCGTTGATTTGTTTCAGATTGGCCATTTGTTTTGGCTTTATATGTTGTGGCTAGCTTGATTGACTAGCATCTATATAGCATAATGTATCACCAGTTTTCTGTTACAGTATTAAAAAAAGTGTTCAAACGATTTTAAATGACTACGAACTAGAGTTCTGACAATTTCAAATCAAGGTACTAATATATTTTATTTTAATTGGGTAATTGTTCAACGAAGAAATTAAAAAGCATCGATGGTTAAATTGTTGGCTAGCTTACATGCGTTATTCCAGGACATTAATACTATTAATGATTGCAAATAAAATTTTCCGCGAAGCTTCTATGATTCAATTATACCAATAAATGAGGGCTGTCGGCCGCAATTACGCACGTAACAATTGTGGCACTCTTCGTTCACTGAGCAGAGGTGTAAATATATGTTTATAACATTTATTCTGTACTGATTATTTAATAATACTTTATCAAAAATATTATATTATTATTTTTTTTCCCGGCAAGGTACGTACGTAAGGTGGACATTGCAACACCAGAGCGTTTCAAGTGTTATTGTTAGGTAAGAATAGGCTCGCCTGCTTAATATCTTTTTACCATAGGACTACTAGAAATTTAAGATTTAGGAAAAACCCTTCGGTCTATTCTTTCGGTAAGCTAATATCACAAAAAGTAAGGTACAATGCCTTCGTACAATCCTTCAGTTCACCGGACTAGTCTTAGAACATGGAACAATTTAAATACATACTTCACTATATTACAATTTACCGCGTGGGATGAAACGTCACGTGACACGTAAACATTTTTATAAATTAATACATTGGGTAGCAATGTGAAACTTCTTTCTCTCATAAAACATATTTATTAGGCAATCCCTCGGCCATCAATTTATGCTTTGGTTTCGCGACAACTGGCAATAGTTTGCCAAAAAGCCAATCCAATATCAAGTTAATAATTAAATAATGCTAATGTAATAATAATGTGTTTTCTTATTCGGTAATTTTCTAAACATTTCTAAGATGCAAAATTCGAAGCTTCGAAACTTTTTATGATTATATAGGGTCAATTTCTAGACTTTATAAAAACGCAAACGTTATTGCCCTTATATTACAGGTTGCTTGATTAGGTTAGGTTGCCTAACCAAGCAACATGTAATATATGGTCAACCAAGCGGTTTGACTTATAGTAACAGTTGATTTTTTTATCAGAATCTTACTAAAATCTTGTTGAAAAATCCGACGTAAAGTGGAAGTATAATACTTTCGCGTTTCGTCTGGTGAGTGAGGTGGCCAGAGCCCAATTTTCAAATGGGTGTTGCAGACGTCCATGGGCGGTGGTATTCACTTAACATCAGGTGAACCGTCGGCTCGCTTGGCAACTTTTCACATAAAAAAAATAATAAATGGAGAACTTACGTTTTCGATCATGGCAATTCCATAATCTCGAATGGACTTAAATACATCACGCGCTCCATTTTTAGTGTGGAGAAAATCATTGAGTGGTACTTTGCTGATTTTCTTTTCGATTTCATCACCACGCCAAAGCAATGCTTTGGATTTTCTTTTGCTTACCCACGTCTTGTAGTCAAATTGTTCGAGGAAATCCGCTTTGTAAACAGATTCGTGTTTGTCGTCCCCTAAAATGCATATGTGAATATACTCTAATTTTCAACTCTACCGCATTGTTAATCTGTAATACTTCTGTCAGTTATTATTATTAACTATTAGTAATTACTAACAAGTCACATAAACATGCTCGTTATCGAACTTCATGTCAGCAATTTGCGAGTCAGGTATATTCAATAAATGTTGGGCCCTCTGAAAGGTGTCTGCGTGATAGCATGTTGTACATCTGCAAATATTTTTTTATTTTAATTGAGAAGCAAGTACTGTTATACAGATATACGAAGAAAATAAAATATCGTTGCTTATATCATTGAATTAAGGTTTTTATGAATTCACAATTGTTGGATATATGTATATTAAATTTTGAAACCTTTCATCGTCATTTCACAAAAAAACATTAACGTTATTATGAATTGAAATTAAGTGTGAATAATTCACATGGTTAAACTATATTTCTTATGTGTAGTATAGTTATAAATTAGTTTTAAAATTTATAAAACGCATTTTTGATCGTAAAAATTCCTATAGAAAATGATTGAAAGAAAAACATTGTTTCAGAAAAACATTATTGGTATTTGAAAAATCTTAAAATATCTTTGCCAGATGTGATTTTTTTTAATTATATTAATTTCATCATTATTTAAAAATATAGGAATAATTGAATCTAAATAGACTCAAGGCTAGATGGCGCGTACAGACTTTTGGCTTTTATTTTTTATATTGGACACAATATTACTAAAATTATTTATTGTTTATTATTCACAAGAAACAATCTTAGAAATGACAAAAAATTAGTTAATTTTGATAAAATATTAGTAGAGAATAGCATACCGACAAAACACCTTTCTTATATATAGACGATAATGATGATGATTACCTGCAATGGTCTCTTAGCCAAATGGTTTCGAAGCTTATTTCTAACCCACTTTGAAACTTGATGGTTACGGTTCCATTTTCAATTTTCACAAATTGGATTCCTTAAACATAAACGTGCGATGAATTTCACTGGTTATAAATAACGGAAAGAAATACTGTATACTATTTTAATGATATATTATTACCGCTCATTTTAATTTCTGCAATTTGTAACAAGCTAATTGACGGCGTATCGCACGGTAGGAGCTGATACAACAGTATGAAGAATAATTTATCAACAAAGTATAGGTCAAAAGGCGACGTCTTCCACTATCTCTGTTGCTTATGTTTGATTTAATTATTAACTCTTGTCACAGGACATTTTGACTACGTACATTTTATCAATTAAATACAAACAAGGAATAACCACAATCAATAAATATACAGGATCTATCTTAGTACCGCACACTCACGCACGTCAATAATAACTCGTATAGAAGAGCACATGGTTTGATTCAATATTCTTGAATGTTAGAAAATTATAAAACTATATAGTATACTACAAACTCTGATTGCTTAACTGAAAGTTTTGAAGTGTGAGCTCAATTTATCAACCTGCAACGATAAAAAAACAACATAACAAGGAATATAAATGTAATAAACGTAATTAGATATCATAAATTAAAAAAGAATTTTTTTAGGACACATTTTCACACAACGTTCTCTAGTCCCAAACTAAGCAATGCTTGTACGGGTATGTAAACATATTTTTTTTTCTATTCTAAATAAATACTTATTATACATATGAATAATATGTATTTTTTATATAAATACCCAGACACTAGTTAAACACTATGTTCATCTACCCACTACGCAATTCGGGTCGTCCAATTAAAAGTACATGTAGTTAATTTTACTTACTTATAGTCAATTAAATTACCAAAAAAAAACTCGTTAAAACAAGGGACAAAATGTTAAGAAATATTTAACATCCAAAGTAACGTTTCCTAAAAAGAGGTATATTACATTATAAAGTAAATGGAATGAAACGGCCATGCAAATCCCGCTAAAATTCCCCTACGACAAAATCTTAAACCACAGTGACACAAAACTTAATTATACCACAAATAATGCAAGCATATGCATTGTTGTGCGCCGCAACATACAACAAAAATAAGATTACGTGAATCTAGTAATTTCAAAAATCGAAATCTTTGTTGAAGTAGTTCTTACTTATTAACAACTAAATAACAAAATATGAAGATATTAGATTAATTAATTGTTTTGCGAAACAACTCCAAGTTTTCTTTTGTGACGTGCCCTTGGGTTCATTCACCTGTGGTAAGCCTACCCAAAAGCTTCTGCTGTTGTACGAATGGGCAGACGCCTCCGGGGAAGTATCACAGAAGACTGGCGTGAAGTGAAGGTATTATATTTTCGCGATTCGTCCTGTGAGGGAGGTAATCGGGGCCCACTCTTTTATAGGTTGTCAAAGCATTGCAGGCCATCGGATGTGGTAAATGTTCATGGGCTGCGATATGGACAACAGGTGAACCTCCTGAGCGCTTGGGAACTTTTCAAAAGAGGAAAAAATATTATTTTATTGTTTTGCTTATTAAAGTGTTTGAAAACATTGGAGGGATTTAACTTTCTTTTCTTTTTTGTTCATTATAGTTTTGTGCTTAGACTCTTTTACAGATGAAGTAGACATTAGTGTTTTGAAACAATGCTTATACAAAGTTTCAATTTATCGTCATTTACTTTAATTTTAAATACCAGAAGATTCAAACATTGTTCATTGTACACTGCAAATTAGCAAGCTTTACATATTTTACATACAAATATTATATTTGAAATGTCACAAGGATTCGTTGGCTTTAGTTACAGTTCCAGGAAATGACAAAATATCCATCAGATAACTATCTGGTGCTCAAAGCTTTGATTAAACATGTAATCGCAATTTACAACAGGAATGGAAGCTATTTGTATTTATCCAGTGACAATTCACAGTTTAGCGGAAATGGGTACAATTTAAAAAAAATGCTTTTTCTTTCATGCTACTATGTTTTTTGATATTTAGATCATAATTAAAATTCCAAGTGTTATACTGAGGCTTGTGCCAAGAAACTATTACGAACGTAATAATCTATTACAGTCTGTTCTCAAATAAGTCTTTTATATAGAATGGCTTTGAGAAATTAATAAATAAAAAAATAAAATTATGCAGGGTAGCTTTTCTAAAGGTGCCCAAATTCACGCAGGAGGTTCAGACTCGGTAGTATAATCGTTTTTAACAAACTTTTTTTTTTCAAAAATTTCCATTCTATTCCCTTAAAAACAGAACATGTGGACAATGCGGTAATCATTCTTAAATGCGTCGTATACTTTTGAAACAAACTTGTGTGTGTGTTAGTTATGAGTTGCCCATAAATCACACATATTTTGAGATAAATTCAAATAAATGTAATTAATTAATTACGAGTGATTTTAAATATTTATCATTTTTATGTAACATTATTTTGTCTTGAATTTAATAAAAAAATGGATACACTTAGATAAACCTCCCTGTATATTAAAATTATTTAATAAGGAAAAGCTTCTTATAAATATGAACACACAGCTTATATGCATATGTATACAGCGTGTCTTTACAATCGCGACAGTAAATGAACACACATCTATATGTGTGTTCATTTACTAACTTCGGGGATAACTTTTTAAAATTGTATTAAACGTGTACATTCTTTAAACATCAATATTTACAGAGTTATTAAATTTTCCAAAACAAAGAATTTTAGAACACCCTTACGTATAAAACTATAACGTAAAGTTCATTTGTAAAGGTCGCAAAGCATATGAATGGGTTGAATGAATTTAAAAGAGACAAAATATACTGTTAGAAGGAGAGGCTTGTAATGCGACGCTGTGGCGCGAGTTGTATAGGTGTTACAAATTTTGTTTCTTTTGTACTTAATTAGTATGTTTGAAAAGAAATTTTTTTAATTATGGATTTTGTTTAAGGTTAATATTTTTTTTATGATTATTGGCAAGTAGCGTTAGACGTGTGTTCATTTATTGTCGCGATGTTAACGACACGCTGTATATGTTCATGTCTAGTGCCTCCTATGGACTTTTATGGACTTATTAAAATGTGATTTTTTAGGGCACATAGGGGCTGGTAGTGATTACGGATTTTCACTCTTTAAGATCTTTGTACACTTGTACCATGTAGCTTTTGAAATAATTCGATAACATTAAATGTACGACCAAAAAATTAAGTGACTGTCATGAAATTTTAAAAATAACTGAACAAATAAATCCTGTTATATGTTATAGGCATCCTGTTATATGTATCTATTAAATTTAAAATTAAAACCGATTAGTATAATTTCCTTTGGGATTGGAAAAATATTTACGATTGCGGAGAATTCGCCGGCCCGGGAAAATATGACGGTTAATTAAACGCTTAGTATGTGATCCCAACATTATTAACTGTTGTCGGCAATTCGGGGGAGAGGACAAAAACATATTTTCCATAAAAAAGGGTGTACACGCGTTAGCGTGGTAATTTTTTTTGTTTGTATTCTTTAGCATCGAGGATCAGGTTTGGCGAGTTCATTATCTCTGTATATTTCAGATATCATTCTATAATCACCCTTTCTTACGTCTCTCAATGGATCTCAATATTAAATTATCAAACTATATTAAACTACAGAATTTGTTCATATTTAAAAATAAATCTTGCATTATAAACAATGCATTATATTTATTATAAACAAAACCATTTGAAACAATATATATTCACAATCAGCTCAAATAAAATAATTAACCAGTGTGTAACCATGCATCATCTAGCAATGGTACCAAAATATTTTTTTCTTCTATTTAGTTGTATGTATTCTTATTCATTACTTTGGAGATGTGGCATGTTATTTAAGCCTTCAATATGAAGTTTTTATAATAATAATTACGTGGCACATATAAGTAATATCTTTGACAAACGTAATATCCATGTCCGATGGCAGATCCAATTGACTTGGAAATAAAGCCCTGCCAAGGCCAATAATGGTAGATCCTGCCAAAAAAAACCTAATACTCATTGGTGCAAGCCATTGATGTTTTATCGTTAGAGGTTGAACCGTGAGTCAATGTCCGTTCTTATTGTTTACAGGGATAGAAATAGAATCAACGTATAAAATTGTTATTGAATGATCATCATAGATTTTTTAGCGATGGAGACTCGAATATGTTTTTAAAAGTTGAGTTGAAAACAAAAATTAAATTACTAAACTAATAAAACCAGTTTCGTTTTTCCAAGGTGAGTAGTTGATACAAAACGACATCCTTGCAAATGTTATGCATTAGCCAATGTCTTTTTACGAAGTTAAAGAAGCCTTATTAGCTCATGCGACAAAAATAACAAATAATTAAGTGCACAGAATAAATGAGATATGAAATGTTCTTCAAAATTGCAATAAATCAGCGAACAGTACTAATACGATTGAAAATGTAACAGTGATTTTTTACTAATGGCTGAATTAATCAAAGCTCGACAAAAAGGTCCAATAAGATTCTACCAGTTCTAAAAGGTTTACAGTCGACCAGCTCCTTTGAGGTATCTTTAAATTTATCTCACGTCTGAGCGCCACTGAAGCACGTAACTTGTAGGACAAGGGCCAAATTACACTTGCCGCCAGCTCTACGATTATTGCGTCTGAGTTTTCTTTTCCAATAGAATGGTTCTCAAGTTTCTCAGAATAACTCTACTCTTTATCTCGAGTGAAACATTCGAGAATATTTGACATTTTTTTTACCTTCGAAACCGATGTGAGATATGTTGGTAAGAAAAGATTTTATGTGTTATTTTATTTTATTCTCACTTCCAATTGTTTCTGTTTTTACATTAGTTAAACATAAATGCGGATTTGAAAACTATTTTCGAAATATATTTTTCTTGTTATTATTTCGAGAATATGCATATATGTTTTTTTCAAGATGCTTTCTATTATCGCTGTGCATGTGTTAAGTCAGCACGAGTGGGCGGTTCACCTGATGTTAAGTGGTACCTTATAATAAACTTGGCCCCGGCTACCTCACTCACCAGACGAAACGCAGAGGTGTTATACTTCCACTTGCGGTCGTTCTTTCTTCTGTGAGGTCGTGGTACTTACTAGGACGCGCCTGCAAATTCATGCACCATCAGAAGATTTAAAACGAGCGCTCGGACACTGGGCTATCACAGCTCAAACATTAATTAATAAAAAGCCAATAAGTTCGGAAAAAAATTTAAAAACTATTGAAAGCGGTTCAACGCGTAATCGCCTTACACACAACAATCTATACTGCGTGTAATTATCTGCTAACATAATTGCATCTTTAGCATATGGCGAGGCATTGGAAAATTCCTCAGTACTAGGAAATAACTTATTTTATGCTTATATTCTGAAATTTAATAGAAATCATTAAACATAACAATATTTTTTTAACTTAATACATTTAATTCATTAAACATATCATAAAAGGATTATTTGGTACAGTAGTTAATTATTTATTCTTTGCATTTGTACTAAAATTTATATTCGAAATTGAAATACGTAACAAAATTACCAAAATTCAAAACACTTTGGTATAAAAAGAGATGTATTATTACATTTTAAGCTCTATGGCCCAAGATCGGACGGACTATAATTCTATTTTAGTGACCGTTCACGGTTACATCAAGGTTGATGTCATCAACAGTCATAATACAGCATTGAGATACGCCGTGTGCCCTTTAGTTATTTGATAAAAATACATAAACATTATGTGATAAATACTTTATCAAAAATATGATGATAATATTGTAGTGGAAAGTGTTTGCTTTTTTGTTTCTGATATTTTTAGTGAGACTCATTTGTGCACAATTTTTAAACAATGCAAACGTATAAGATACGGGCAATCATCAAATCAAGTGTTGTTAATTTTAAATCAATCAGGTAAGTGGGTATTCTGTACATATATTATGAAGGTGTGGTTTTCGTTTTTCTAGTAATTCCTAATAAATAAACTCGACGCGACACACAATATTTTAACTAAAATACTCAAGTCTAGTATAACTGTGGTTAAGTTACTACAAAATATTAAACGTATAATAGTCAAAACTACTGTAAAAGTCCGGTCGTGTATCACACCTAGGATCATAGAAAACTAAGCTGAAAGTCGGTCATCATGTACCCGTGGCTCTTGTTAGTAAAAAAATATCTATATTAAAGGTACTAAACATTTTAATCTTAAGCACAAACATAAATGCACTAATGATTTCTATAACACATTTAGAACCTGTTTCTGCGTCATTTTAAATTCATGTATAAAGCTTAATGTCACTATAGGTTATGCGTATTATTATATCCATCCATAACGTCTGTTCAGAATGTTCAGTTTCATCTTTTTTTTAACTTTCTTGTTAACTATTTCGTAAAAAAGGTAATGTGTGGCCGCTCCACACATTATTTATTTATTATTTATATTTCCAGAATAATAACATCATCGTCATTTACGCCTGTTGTTCACAGGCGTAAATGACGATGATGTTATGTTCGTACACTGTAGAAAATATTTTCGCTTACATTTAGCTTAAATTTAATACTAATAAGTCATACTCACCTTGATTACAGTGAGATTTTACGCTCTCACTTTACAAAAAAGAAATAGAGAAGAAATGCAGAACAGGAATAATGTTCATACGTTTGTTTATTTTTCTTTCAGACCGGTATCCACCATCAGCAATGTAGCTGTGAGCACATCTGAAACAGGGCAGCAATTGAAGTCATTTGACGAGATTCCTGGTCCTTCGAAGTTGCCAATAATTGGACCCCTACACCATTTCCTTCCTTCGGGTAAAGAAAAGAATTTATATTAAGACGTTAAAAAGTAGAAAATGCGTTGTTGAAGCTAAGAGTGGTCATGATCATGTTTGACTTTATAGTTAAGATATAAAGGAGGCCAAAAGTGATCATTGAGTAGTGAGGACAACAAAATAGCCATGCGTAAGTTTTAATGCAAGGCTAAATTTTATTGAAAGGCGCAAGTTTTTTTAATGCTAAATTTTATTAAAAGGCAGGTCAATTGTTATGTTCATGTCACTTATTATTTTTTGTATGTATTTTCGTTGTCAAAAAAAGTGAAGGCAGTCTGTCAAAACGAAGGCTTAAACTGAAAATTTTCTTTATTTATCTTGATTTTTTTTATGCAAGAAGATGTCAAGCGAGCTGGCGGTTCACCTAATGCTAAGTGATAACTGCCGCCCATGGACATTTATAACACCCGTTGTTTTGCAAAGCAGTGCCAGCTTTTAAGAAAGTGGGCCTATTACAGATACCAATTAACTAATTTAGTGCTTATTAAAAAGAATGAACAAATATATTCCTCAATAAACACAAACATTGGGAGTTTTATTTTAAAATGGTAAATCCCTATTATTACGTCTTTATAAATTTTTGTAATGAATCGCAGGCTTGCTATATAAGACTGATGGGATCACTTTTATGGAGCGCTTACATCAGACTTACGGACCGATTGTGAAACTGCCAGGATTGTTTGGAGGACCTACTTTGGTGCTATTGTTTGACGCGGAGAGTATAGCGTATGTAAGTGTTACTCTCTTACTTGTAACGATTAGCTTATCCGTCGTGCTTATTAGAACGGCCTTCAAACTCTCCTTAAAGGTGCTACGGAGCGAGAATTGGATGCCGAAAAGGCCCGGATTTCAATCGTTGGAGCACTATCGTAAGGAATACAAGGAAATAAAAGGAAAGGGAAATGTTGTGACTGGATTAATTACGGAGTAAGTGATATTTACTTATGTTTAACAAGATTTTAATATAATTTTAACCTTTAAGGTTTACCATGATAAAGATCATAGTTGGTAACGGATTAAAGTAAAAGTGAATTTTACTTACAATGAAAACTGAGTTTACTGAGTTGGGTTAAAAAAAATTACCATATGGTCTGTTTCGCAAGAACAGACCATATGGTAATTTTTTTTTTAACCTTAAATACGTGAAAACTATTGAAAAATAATGAATGTATCATAAAATGTTTACACATCATTATAAATAAAAATGTACCATATATTGAACTGAATTCTTTGAATGTTTATGTCGTATATATTTGGTACTTCAAAAAATATGATGCTCAGTGTAGGATAAGATTTACTAGTTTCCGCTACTGGTTCTCGTTTCACGTACGCCAAAACTGCAAACAAAACCATCGAGAGCCGAATCAATTACCCGTAGGCTATGCAAACTGCTCTACCGTATGGGGATCGAACCTTTGTTCAAATCAAAAGGTGCGTTAAATACTTTGAACGTGTTAAAAGTCAAAGTCAAAGTCAAATATCTTTATTCAATATAGAAGCATTCACTTACTTATTGATAGTCAAAAAACTCTACCACTACCGTTAGCAAAATGTAAGCGGCTGAGCAATGTTAAACCCCTATAAATTATGTAAATTAATCTTGGATAATACTTTTTACTCGCAGCCACGGAGAGCAATGGAAGAAGTTGCGTTCTTTGGTCAATCCGGTATTGCTGCAGCCAAAGACGATAAAACTGTACTCAACAATACTCGATGAAGTTGCCAAGGACATGATCGCAAGGTATGCGTTTCTATTCTTATAGCTGATGATTGTAGGTCGGTCGTTTTGTTCAATAGCCCATAAACAGCTTCATGAACAAAGTCCAATAGAAAAAAAAAAACATAAATCTGTAATTAATGTTGGGTTATCGAAAACCAATGTTTTTTTAAAAAAAAAACAATGTTTTACCGTACGTTAAAAAGTTAAAAAAGGAACCCTTGTAAGATAACTCTCTTGTCCGTGTGCCACCAACGATTTTATACATATATAGTTGACGCCAATTAAGACACGCGTTCATATAAATACAATTACATACTAGATAATGGTGGCACTTGGCTTTTTTTACGTGGAAAAGGTGGCGAACGATCTGGTGATTCACGTTATGTTAAGTGATAACCGCCACCCATTAACAATTGCAACACCCGTGGGGCAGTAGATGCGATGCCACCTTTTAATTAAATGGGCCGCGGCTACCTCACTCACCAGACGAAACGCTGAAGTATCACACTCCCTTCACGCCGGTCTTCTGTGCCGAACGGACCTGCCGATTCGTGTAACAGAGAAAAGTCATGCGTGGCCCTACCACAGTTAAATATTTTCATGTAACATTTTCATATACCGAGTATTTTCTGTATCTTATCGTAATAAGTTAAGGATCATTATCTGATATTCAAACAATGAGTAATATGACATGACTAATATTACCAAATTCGGTATCACACACCGATAAGGAAGTCCATTTTTTTAAAGATAGATAGATACAAACGATCGATGACTCCGTGGTGCATTTCGCAAGGTATTGGATTCTGCGTCGGGGGCCGTAGGTTCGGTTCCTACGCGGGACAAATATTTGTTTCAGCCACAGATAATTGTTTCAGCCACAGATAATTGTTTCACATCTGCGCATTTGTCCACGTGAAATTTATGCTTGTGAAACGTCTTTACAATGTAGGATAATGTTATCCTAAAGTAAGGGTAATGTTTTTATATGAAAAAAAATGTATGTACAGTAAAAGTTACTGTACATACATTTTTATTTATTATGGTTTTTTCTGGAAGGCAAAATGATATATTAATATGGCAGTCTGTGGTGTAGACCTATGTTCTGCAGGGGACTTGAGTAAGCTGATATGATAATGATAATGATAATAACGATATTGATGAAAAATGTTAACAATAAAAGTATGAATTTGTCACCCATTGAACAAATAAAACCTTAAAATCTACTAAATCCACTTAATTTAATGGCAAATGGAGGCAGCTGAGAGGTCCTTTCTGTTAAATGATCAGAATGATCTTCTTAATGATCAGAATGATCAATTCAAAGAGTTTAAGTAATTTGACAGGTGATTAGTTGATTTTTACGATGGTCAGTGTTTCAGAAACCGGGCGTAAGACATCAAACCGTAAATTTCTAGTTGATTTCGCTAGACTAAACTTTCACACTTAATTCTGTAGTACCTGGAGGACCGAGCTTTGCTCGGTTTGTTTTTTTTTGGGTAAATCATGTATTTTGGAAATTACATTTAGATACAAATTACTGAGAAATGAAATATGCATAATATTTTTCGATCTTACCGACGTAATAATAAGAAAATATGAACTGGTGTTTTTCACAAAAGAAAGATATTAAAAAAAAAGGGGAAAAAATTAACAAAATAACAAGTCGACAAAAAATAAAAATAAAGAAAGCAATGACCTGGAATCGAAAAAAAAAAGTAAAAAATAAGTGTGTAAATGATTGTGATACGAACCACGGCCGTCTGTTTTGGGGCCGCCCGATTACCGACCGAGCTATTATAACATTTTTTTTTGCGGCGAAATTTACCGTCATATTCGAATGATATTTTCTAAAAATGAAACCTAGCTAGATCGATTTTTCGCCCCCGAATCCATATATATATACAAGAATTGCTCGTTTAAAGGATAAGATATCTTATTTCACAGAATGAAATCCATTCGTGACGAGAACAACATGATAAAAGGCGACTTGAGCCACGAAATGAACTTATGGTCTTTGGAGTCCATTGGGGTGGTAGCGCTTGGCGGTCGTCTCAATTGCTTCGATCCCAATCTACCCGTGGATTCTCCTGTTAGGAAGCTGATCCAAATCGTGCATGATTTTTTTGCCATAGCGGACAAATTAGATTTCAGGCCGAGTCTTTGGAGGTTATATCCAACTAAGACGTACAAGAGAGCTATGAAACTATACGAAGAACAGGAAAAGTAAGTCAGTTGATCAACGTTTTTCTTAGAAATGTCATCGATAGTCAAGAACATTTTAATCCTTTATAATACTTTCTAGTTTGAATGCGTACTTTATTAAAATGGCGATGGAAAAGTTGGAAACGGAAAAGAAATCGGATAACGAGAAGGGAATATTAGAGAAATTGCTTGAGATAGACGAACACGTTGCTATGTTGATGGCCAGCGATTTGTTATTTGCTGGCGTCGATACGGTGAGAAAGCTTTTTCTTTAGGGGCGATTAATAAACAAGAACAGAAAGTTAATGTTTCATTAATTAATAATATTTTAGTACAGGTTTGTTTGAATACGACTTTACAACCTTTTTTCAATTATGTATTTCACTCAAATTTTTCGTTTTGTTTTGAACTGTATCATTTATCTTCATGGTTTGCAGACGGCCCATACAGTCATACCAGTGTTTTACTTCCTTGCGAATAATCCAGAGAAACAGAAAAAATTACGAGATGAGGTATTATCGAATTCCGAAAAACGGCCTTACCTTAAGGCATGTATTAAAGAAGCTATGAGAATTATGCCGGTGGTTGTTGGAAACATGAGAGAGACTTCAAAAGAGATTAATATCCTTGGTTATCAGATTCCCAAGCACGTAAGTTCGATGTACTTAATAATGAATAAAATTTGTATAAGATAAAAAGTATTTGGTATATGCTTCTTCGTCGGAATTTTTTTTTTGGTAAATCAGAACTATCAAAACATGCTCAATAGACGGTAATGTTGAATATCTTTTTATTGTTTTCAGACGTATATGACATTTGCTCATCATTACGCTTCGTTAATGGAATGCCACTACCCAAGGCCGCGCGAATATATCCCAGAGCGCTGGATCGCTGGTAAAGATGACCCTTTGTACCATGGAAACGCGCATCCGTTTGCATTTAGTCCCTTCGGATTTGGAACTCGTAGCTGTATAGGTATGTTTATAGTGTTAAATTATCATCATCATCTTCATTCTTCTGCCTTTATGCCACCTAATTGGGGTCGGCAAAATATTTAAATGTTGAAAGCAGTTTTGGCTGTCTCTACGATCGGCCAGGTCCAGAACAATGTATAATAATATCTGTGGCTCACACGAATATTTGTCTCGTATTGTAGAAAACATACACCGACGCCCTAGGCAAGAGTTTATCGCTGGCACCACCGAGTCACGTTTATAATGAAACTAGCTGACCCGGCAAGCGTTCTGCCATGTAAATGATTTATAGGGAATTAGTTAGGTCGAAAAAAATGTTTGGGGTGGACCACCCTTAACATTTAGGGGGTTGCAAGATGTTGTCCGATTCTCCACCTTGGCCGATATGCACACAAAATTTCACAAAAACGGTCGAGACGTTTCGGAGGAGTTCAATTGCAAACACACTCGACTTTTATATGTTAGATACTTCTTTGATAAATTCGATGGGAATACATATTATATGATTTATTGCTAAGGCAATACATGATATACAAATATACGTTTCTTTTCGACCTTCTTTTCTAAAGAAGATGGCAATCAGGAAGCGTTGCACTAGATTAAATGATTTATTACTGGCCATTGCCGTCTGCAAAACTAGTGTGCTGTTATCCCACCTGTTAGCTTTTGATACTTACAATTATTTTAAGTTATATTTTTAATAACTATATCGCGTATAAGGTAAGGTTATTTAAGATGTCGAATGTATTTGTTTTACAGGTCGCCGTATAGCAGAACTGGAGATTGAAACTTTCGTTGCACAAGTCGTTAAGAACTTTCACATAGAGTGGTTTGGGGAACCTCTGAAACAATATCAGAGCGCCCTGAATTATGTTAAAGGTCCATTTAATTTTTACTTTAAAGACCTCTAAGACTTTACCTAAGAAGCTGAATAAAGGTTTAACTTTGCATTAAAATGTGCCAGGTTTTATGTTTAATTCCTTTTGCTAAATAAAAAAGTAATATACATATTTCTCTAGCCGCTGTTTCTGAATTTATATAATCACTTATTTTATTATATTTTTAAGAAAAGCGCTATTTATGTTATTTTTTTGTCCGTTTCACATAAATCTTTGAATAATCTTATATTTCTTTGTTCTCTTTCCGTTTTCATGCTTAAGAACGTTTGCGAATCATTTATTATTTTCGCAATTAAGAGCATAAAGAAAACTTTGCAATGTATGTATCGAGTAGCATGCGACGTGGTTTGTAAAACAATATAACTTTTGGCACGCTTTTCACTGCAAAACTTGTTTTGACGTCCATTATTTATTCAGTTGGCATGCCGTCAATTGAAGCAGCTAGCCAGAAATCCAAATGTTTAGTTATTTATTTTCCACAATATTAGCATGTTTAGATTTGCATTAATGTATATATTATACAATCTTCAATTCTATTATGCTTATGCTACTTTAAACGCAAGTATTAATACCATTTGTTCCTTGAAATGGCTGTGGTCTAGGTTTATCTTCTTATATGATATTTCTTGTAAATATTGTATAATAATTGTAAATTTGTGTATTTTGGAGTAAACGTTTATTCATGCACAATATTTTTTTAATTTACACATTTATTTACATTACACTTTTTTTACATATACAATATTTACATTTTACAATATATTCTGAGATGACCTATGGATATGATAGTTTAAAATGTTACCAGTTTTTTTAGGATTTTAAATTTACTAAGTTATAAGAATATTCTGTCCTTGTGTTTGAGGCTGATAAACGTATCATAATATTGAAACCACAAAGACTTTCATAAATATATTTACATCTTTAAACTAGAATAAATAAATAAATAATAAATAAATAAATAACTAAGCAATGCTTGTACTATGGGTACTAGATAACTGATAAACATACTTAAACATACTTTTCTTTTGTAAATAAATACATATTATGCATATATAAACACCCAGACACTAGAAAAACACTATATTCATCACCCAATATTTTTCCAGTAGTGGGAATGGAACCCATATCCTCTGACGCAGAAGGCAGGTACACTACCCACTACGCCATTCGGGTCGTCATAGTATATATATAACTGATATTACACACCTGAATTTGACAGTAAATTCTTAGTTGTGTTTTATTTTTTGACTTAATGAGCCACTGTTCGCCTTAGGGGCCTTTACCGTTTCGCCGGACTTGCGGTGGCCGGGCGCTCGGGGCGCCTAACCTGAACCTCGGCGTATTATTATTACCCGTTATGGTAACTAAGCTCGATGGCTCCGGAGGGAGCCTTGGCTCGGGCCGTCACGCTATTATTATCACCGGTTTGGGAGGCCGCCAAGCTCTTAGGGCGCTTTGGCGGGCGCTGCATGGAGTCCCCGAGAGGGACCTCGGCTTGGGCTGTCACTCAATACGCGTTCAGCATTCCGATTCGAGGGTGCCCGAGAGGGTCGGACCTCGGCTCGATCGGTGGCTATTATCTGGCTGGGGGAATTTCTAGATCTAACATTACTACCACTTCGGAAAGCGTTGGCGCTGGGAGAAGAAGTGGTGGAAGAAACTCCAGCAACGCTTCTATCATTAACTGGAGAGAACCTGCCAGGTACGTGGCGGAACCTTGTATATGTTTGCCGCACTGGCCAGCGAGTATCTTAAAAGAAAATAGACTATCCATCAAATATTGTAAAATTACGCTCTAAGACGCGATAATATAATCACATTCAATTATGCACAAATTATTTTATTGATCGATTGCACAAGTGGCTATCATACGATCCTATCTATGATATCGTGTAATAAGGTTGTTGAGATTATAAACACTCTAAGTCTATTTCTGTACACGTTCGCGGTTATATCAAGGTCGGAGTCATCAAGGAATCCTAGCATTGAATGCTACGTACACAGAGTAACACAGTCTTTCATAATAAATAATATTTATTTAACAATCACCTTTAAAGTTTAGTTAACATTGATAAGTGACAAATGTTTTGAGGTTCTAATAACTAATTAGTGTTTGAAATGCATGCCTTAAAGATAAAGTCGGTGTTTAAGCTGTCTGTTACTAACATCAATTTTAAAAGGTAAGATATTAATGGAAACAGTAATTAATTGTACATAGGGTTTTATGAAAATTATCATACAAATTACACGTTTCTGAATGCTTTTTACCAGGGCCGGATAAAGGGCCCGTAGTGATGTAGCCTTGATTTGAAGGAGAAGACTTTACGTGACTTAATATAACTAAATATAGAAATAAAAGCAAATTTCTATATTCATTTTTCTGTCACAAATTGTTACGTTTTGTGATATTTCGATTAGTCTAATTATAACGTGATAAATATGTATATAGTCTTCAAAGACTCGGGCCTTTGTCTATAAAAATGTACCAGGAAACTGCTTCTTTATCCACCGTCAGTGACTGTCACTATGTAACACTATATGCACATTCCGTGCTAATACATAAGCAAATAGTTCGCCCTCGCCTACGAGCAGGGTACAAGCAGCACAGCGCGTACACAGTCCCAGTTTGAAACTGGGACTATGAGAAACATCTCATAGTCTTCAGTTACCGAGTATTACAGTCAATGTTCATCGTACTTTCGATCGGTCCGTACCGAACCATCTCTCCCGAAAGATAACACACGGCAAGAGTCTATACGCGGCTCTAACCTGAAGCGGACGTCCGTATTGAAGTTCCGTTCAAAGAAGCTTTAATAATCGACGGAGGAAAGCAGAAACATCAGTCAAGTTAAAGTGAAGCAAAGTAAAGCAGGAGATGCAACTCCTATTTATTCCCTTTTAGGTCATGACATTCAATATTAAAGTAAAAAGCTCGCAGTCTCGCTTTGAAAATATTTTCCACAATAAGGGATGGCAGTGTTCTCTCATTACCTTGAATATAATATGAAAAGAATAATAGATAACAACAAACGTTCACAATAAGTGCTTATATGAAATATACACTGTAACCATATTCTTCCTCTTTTTATTTAAGTAAGTTTCGTAACTGCAATCGGTGTTTGTCGACAGCTACATTTCGACTGTCAATAGTCCAGCAAATAGTTCATCTGATTCAACTCGGGAGTTCAAGCCATGGCAAGAGATTCCTGGTCCAGCTCGATCCTCAATATTATTAGGACATTTTTTTAATGTCCTAACAAACGGTAAATGCTTTGGATAATCTTTATACAACGTGGCGCGACGTTATAGAAGACATTTTTTAAAAATTATATTAAACATTTACATTCTTTAAGCATCAATATGTACCGTGTAACGCCACGCATATAATAATAATATAATTCTTCTGTACGTGTGTATGACACTGAAATCCTCTGAAATGGCTGGCTCGATTTTCATGAAATTTGCTTTGCTTTGCTTGTTGGGAGGATTATTAATCTAAATTCCTAAACACATATATTAAAGAACAGTCGCTTCTGGTGGTTAATCTCTGCTTGTTGGGAAACTGTACTCTGTGAACCACTCTAGCCACTGTTGATAAAAGCTAATTTACAGTTATTCGATGCTTTATCAGAGTTTCAGATAAACCCAATGTATTTTTAAATTATGTCATTATTCTTCTTCTCCCTCAGGTTCTCTGTACAACTATGATGGATTTGAAATGTTAGAAAACTTATATAAACAGTATGGGCCGATCGTAAAAATTCCTGGACTGTTTAGATCACCAAATTTATTTATCTTATACGATGCTGAAAGTATAGCGTATGTATGTATTTTAAATACTAAATTTATCGAAGATTGTAAAATATTTCTTCAGTTTATTAAATAACAAATTACAATTTTGAAGGTTCTACGAAGTGAGAACTGGTTGCCAAAGCGCCCTGGATTTCAATCTTTAGAGCATTATAGAAAAGTTTACAAGAAAAATAATGAAAATGATGTAACCGGTCTGACAACCGAGTATGTTTTCGAAGATATTATTTAATTAGTATAGCTAATTCACAATTTTAAAGCAATTATGAATCTACCACATTAAAAAACTTCAACGATTAATACAGATGAAACGCATAAATATCAATACTTTTTCTTTTAAACTGGTCCACTCTTCATAAGCTGTCGAGTTCCCCCTTTTTAAAAAGTTTAATTATTAGACCATTATTATTAGAACATTAAAAAGGTTTAATTCTCCAATGTAAAAATTTCTTTTGAATATGTGTGTTTGCTACAAATGCATAAAAACAAAGCAGATAATGAATACGCAGATTCGAATCTGGGCAGAGGTGAAAAAATTTTCGCGCGGTTTCGTGTATACATGTACCGATTTAGATATCGCAGAGCTTTGGGGCTTGACTTTAAGATTCCTCCTTCCGGATCAGAGGAATCCAGAATGTTATGATTTTAACCTTGGCAAGGTGAAAAAAGGATTTTCGTGTAGGACCTAACCTTTAAAAAATACTTTCTAAGATTTGCAAGTTGTTGCCGTTAGTGCTAATCTCTGCACTTCCAGATTGAACATTAAAACAAGTGCAAAAAGTAGGCTGAAAAGATTGTTGCTTTTGTGGTATCGAACCCATGTCTTCGGCATTCACGTCCCTCTAAGCCACACCTATGTTTTTCTATAAATTTGATAGGTTGGCAAACAATTGAATCTATACGGATTTGGTGTAGGCGTAAGTCCTATTAAAAAAAATTTTCTGGGGGGTTTTAAAGTTTTTTTCATATTGCTATCTCTGCACTTAATTGAACACTAAACCATCATGAGAAAAAGTTCTGTGACAACAATACAAATTTGAGTGAAACACTTCCATAGAAATGAATATTATTAGGTATGCAAAGAGAAGAAGAAAAATATGTACACATCCCAGTTATTAGAAATTCCATGGCAAAATGCTAAAACCTTCAGTCACCGCGTGCATACAACATAAGCCTTTTTTTTATGTGAAAAAATGGCAAACGAGCTGGCGGTTCATTTGCAACACCCGTAGGGTTTGCGTTGCCACCATAAAATGAAATAAAATTAGTCAGAAATATTGTAAGTATCGATTGAATTGCTTCCAAATAAAACTAACTAAAGAGAAATGGTTAAAAGATCTAGACTACGATGAATGTGAAAACCTTTTAACGATGGAGGAGTGATAATTACATAGTAAAATAATAACCATTGATGACTCCGTGGCGCAGTTGCCAAGGTATTGGCTTCGGCGTCGGGGGTTGTTGGTTCGATCCCCACACGGGACAACTATTTGTGTGACCCACATCTGGGTGTTTGTCCGTGTGAACTTTGTTTGTAAAACGTCCTTACAACACGGGATAATGTTATCCTCATGTAAGGGCTATGTTTTTTTTTAATAAATACAAAAAAATGTTTAAACTAAAGATAGAGAAGTGGACTTAAGAACGTTATTCTTAAAGATAAGATTCGGTCCTGTTCCGAATCTTATCTTTAAGAATAACGTTCTTGCGAGAAATTCATACTCGCACCTAATTGAGTTTATATACATTGATCTTAACCAGAAACAGTTCATCATTTTCATAATGTCATTTGTCTACTTAGTGCGTAGACGTGGCACACTTTTTTGAAAGTATTTTTAAGCCCCTTGTCAATACATATATAAAAGAAAGACTATTTTGTTGACCCCATAGTTCAACAAAATAGTCTTTATTTTATGAAAGCAAGAACCACATGTTGCCCTCTAGTAAATGAATATAAACCTGTTCGTAGTCACGGTGAACAGTGGAAGAAGTTGCGCTCTATGGTCAATCCGGTGCTAATGCAGCCAAAAACCATAAAATTATATTCGACAATACTGGATGAAGTCGCTAAGGACATGATTGAAAGGTAATGCTGTACTTTACAGTATTCTTTCAAGGTATAGGTAAGTATCTATTTAGTTTACAGAGCTAATGCTGTAATCATTTTTATCAGTTTTTATACGTCGGAGTCTACTCCGACTGTATTAATTTCTAAGGTGAACGTTCTATCACCACTTATTTAGCAGCTGATGTATGTAACAGAAAAAATAAGTTTATTTGATATGATGGTATCCATCGCTTAAAACTCCCTAATGTTTACTTATTCAGTGTTTGGAACAAAGGAAAAAGTTAATACTATATAGTCTGTTTAGATGTCATTATTAAAATTATAATGTGAAGAAACATTTTAAAACAAGTAAAGTCATGTAACACGAAATATGTAATATTTTAGAATGAAATCAAACCGTGATGAAAATAACATGATAAAAGGTGATTTGAGCGAAGAAATGAACCTTTGGGCCTTAGAGTCAATTAGCGTTGTAGCGCTTGGAGGCCGCCTTAATTGCTTCGAACCTAATCTGCCAGTGGATTCTGATGTTAGGAAGCTCATACATATCGTACACGAATTCTTTTCTGTTGCGGATAAACTAGATTTCAAGCCAAGTCTTTGGAGATTGTATCCTACTAAAACCTACAAGAGGGCTATGAAATTGTATGAAGAACAGGAAAAGTGGGTAAAATTTAATTGATGCTCTGCCCACCATTGTTTTCTTCCAGTATTTCCACTTAGTTTGATATATTACTAATTTACAGATTAAATAAAAAGTTCATCAAAATGGCCATGGAGAAGTTGGCATCGGATACGATATTGGATAAGGAAAAAGGAATATTGGAGAAATTGCTTGAGATAGACGAACAAGTTGCTATTTTAATGGCGAGCGACTTGTTATTCGCTGGTGTCGATACGGCAAGTAAACATTTTTACAAAATATAACTTAACGACTAAATAATTGACCAAAATATAGCTTTGTAAAAAAATCATACGTCTTTACGCTATGATTGAAAGTACATGTTTTGATGCTATTATTTAGTGTATATTTATTATTCAATTCCCTTTTTATGCAAGTAATTTATAACAGCACGACCCTTGATAAATCTTTTTATCTAAAATCACTTGAATACTAGTTTAATCTTTAATAAGAGAGGTAATAATATGGTTAATTTATTTATTTGTTTTTTTTTCCTATTACTTGATTCATGCAAGTCGGTTTCGTTTGACATTTTTTCCCCGTAAAATAAATCTATTGTAAATAGCACTTTGAAATTACTAAATACTAAAAAAATCAACTCCATAAAAATAGAGACATAAACTTAGACTAGGCGGTTAGTTATGAAAATAAAAATAACAAAAGTCATTTTTGAATTTCCTGTACAAGAAGTATTATATATTTGGAATGTTTTAAAAATCTTGTTAAAGGTAGCGCATACGATTATGCCTTTATTTTATTTACTCGCCACACATCCGGAAAAACAAACAAAATTAAGAGAGGAATTGCTTTCAAATTCCGAAAAACGATCATATCTTAAGGCATGCATTAAAGAATCCATGAGAATTATGCCCGTAGTATCAGGAAACATTAGAGAAACTTCTAAGGAGTACAATATTCTTGGTTATAAAATACCTGAACAGGTAAGTTAATTTTATATAACTCTTGTGGAAGTAATTAAATACGTATCAGAACTTTTCAAACTCTACAACTAAGGGGGTGGTAATTTGGATGAAATTGAAGGTTAAACATCCCTTGAACCTCTAATAAAAAGAATAATTTTAATGTCTTTTTCAAAATAAAGAGAACGTGCACAGGGGTAAGATTTTTATCTATTTTGTTACGCTAAAGAAGTATAACTTCTTACGTGCGTAAATAAGTATACAGATAGTTTTTTTTTTGGTTTCTTAAATCTTATAGATTGGTTGGGATGTTATATTGTTTGTTCGAAAAATTTCGGGAAGTAAACCAACCCCAAATTACACGTCTAAAATCCGTTATTCAACAATATTTTTATTCATATTTTGTAGAACAAGATATCCTTATGGAATAATTAATTTAATTTCTTTTTTATGATCTAATAAACTATGATTTCGTATCCAAACAAACTGAAATGTTTAGACATCTTTCAGACATATTTATCTTTCGCTCATCAATACACTTCGCTGATGGAATGTCACTATCCAAGGCCACGCGAATACATCCCAGAGCGTTGGATCGCCGACAAAAAGGATCCTTTGTATCATGGGAACGCCCATCCATTTGCCTACAGTCCCTTTGGCTTCGGAGCTCGCAGTTGTATAGGTGAGTTAATATAAATTGTGTTCTGTATCACAAGTAAATGGTGACACATAATACAAAAAAAAATTACAAATGTTATAGGTTCAATTTATGTTAATTTTTAAATAAACGAGAAAACATACTTGTACCTTATTGGATTGCTGAAAGCAAATGTTGCAAAATCGTAAAGTTACTCCATAGTACAGAAACATTGACGTTTTATTTTACGATTTTCTAAGTGCTGACTAGACAATCGAGTGTTAACATAAGCAACTTAGTGCAAACTAGCTAATAAAAACCAATTGAGATCCTTTTGAGTAATTTGTACTAATTCTGAAGTGCTAACTTTCTCGTTTTTCAGGTCGCCGTATTGCCGAGTTAGAAATTGAGATTTTCTTGCCAGAGTTATTGAAAACTTTCGTATTGAATGGTTTGGGGAACCACTCAGACAGTATCAAAGCGCATTGAACTACGTTCGAGGACCTTTTAATTTTATTTTTAAAGACGTTTAACCTAAATTATTCTGTACGGGCATTATCTGCGTCATTAGTGTGTATTGCAATTGCTATGTTATTATTTTCTTTTAATTTTATATAGTAGTACTAGTATCATTCGTATTGGTTTAATTATTCAAAGCAGTTCTTATTCTATCCATTCATTACGGTCCCCTTTTTGTGGAGCTGCTGCAGCCCTTATCTCCTGTAAAAAAATATAGAATCTGAAATGAAAATGGCGACATTGCATTTAATGTAAAATGTAAGCATATGAAAACATGATAATTCGTAATTATTATGTTTTTTTTAAACAGATTAACATAATTTTTTTATGTGACAAAGTGGCAAACGAGCTGGCAGTTCACATGATGTTAAGTGATAACCGAAGCCCGTGGACATTTGCAAGACCCGTAGGGTTGCAAATGCGTTGCCACCTTTAATACAGTGGGCCCGGCTTCCTCACTTACCAGACGAAATGCAGAAGTGTAACGACTCTTCTTCACACCGGTCTAATGTGAGGTCGTGGTACTAACCCGGACGGGCCTGCCCATTAGTGCAACAGCGAACACTGTTGCGTGGCCCTACCTCTCACCAATAAAAAGGTACATATAAAAAAATGTTTTGAACACAAACATTGACTTGCTCAACTTCGTTTTAATAAATAAAGCCATTTGCCGTTTATGAATAATATGCCGTTTTCTTTCACGCTTGGACAAACACAATAACAGATTATTGTGATAAAGAAATCACATTGCTAAAACAAAATTACAAAATATATACTTATCGGTAACCACAGACGAAAATAGAAAGTTAAAAAAGTAATAAAGTTGTTAGAGAAACTTTTGCTTAAAACTGATAACATGATCTTCACACAATTACCAGGCACAATATATTTGATTTAAGCAATTCCCTATAGTTCGTTTATTTCAGATTCATGACATTGACATGATAATGTTATATTACATTAATTTAGTATTAGTAACTGGGAAAAGATTGAAATAACTTCAGAGCGTCTTCAATTGATCACCGTTTATTCTTTTTTACCACAATATTTTATACCTACCATCAATTAAATATTATAATTATTTAAGCGCCTAACTTTATACCTAAGCAATTGTAGCGATTGGCAATATCTCCTTTGGATATCTTGGTAACAAACTTTACAGATTTACGTTTATCTATCACTCGTTACTCGCATTGCTCTAAGCCTAGTACGTGGTACGATTTTCGTATTTTATTACATCTGAACTCAAGCAAAGGTCCTAGAAAGTAACGAAACATATACAATTGGCCAGAAACATACAATAATTGGTCAGAAGTATAAAAATAGTCACAAGGAGATTAAAATTTCAAGGACATCCCTATCATAATAGCACCTCAAGGGATTAACTGCTTTCAAAGAAAATGATGTCGTTTATCCATCTGCTAACAACGAATAGTCGCTCGTTATGGGTATAATCTTGTTACCCCGTCGAAATGTCCAGTTACTATTATTGGGCGTACTATTAGGAAAGTTGATATTAGGTTTACATATAATTAACAAAAACTTTCCCATCCATATCTGCCAAAGCGTGGCGATTCAACAAAGACAAACGATTCTGACAAAAGATTCTGTCCTATAAAAAAACTGGTAATTAATGTCGTCGGTCCCGTTTCTGAATAAAGGGTAAGGGTAAATGTACTCATGCTGATAGAACTGTTTCACATATTGTAAAAAAACGTTATCTACTTAAATTTAAATAAGTTGCATTGGCTCTCGTCTATTTTTTGGCCATTTTTTTACACTCGATGGATGATAATCAGAATATGGTTTTACATAACGTCGTATATTATTATAAATAATTACATAAAACATATACGTACATGGAGTTTTAATTACTGAATGAATGTGATTATTTTTTCAAAATAAGTAATTATTGAGTTATAATAAACCATATTTTTATAAAACATTATAATAATTTATACATTATGTATTACATATAAAAAAGAGAACGATTAAAAGAACTTAAATGATGTAGTAATTTGAATATCAAGAGCGTCTGACAATTGTTATTTATAAATAATAAAAAATTAAATGTATATTACCAAATATAAACATCCTGTTTTATAATATGTGAAAATAAATGAAAGTTTTACTTTATAAAATATCCATTCTAATATTATAAACACGAAAGTTTGTATGTATGGATGGACGTTTGTTACTCTTTCACGCAAAAACTACTGAATAGATTTTAATGAAACATTACATCGATATAGCTTGTAAAACAGAATAACACATGGGCTATAATTTATAAAGATATTGTGTGAATTGTCAAAAATAGGGGTGATAAATGGGTTGATATTTTCGTGTTTAAATTAAAGAACCCATAGTTAAATCCCCTTGGCCGCGCGAGCGAAGCCGCGGTTAACATCTAGTATAAATTATATCAGCAATTTCTCCTTTTCTTCTCAAAGATTATTCAACATCTTTAAACACGAAATTGAACGGTCCAACAGCATAATTGACTAGACTCGGTTTTATGTTCATTGGTCCACCGACCCATGTTATATGGAAGTTTTCTATGATTCGAGTTAGGAACAACTCCATTTCCAATTCAGCCACTCTGCGTCCTGGAAATAATTTTAGAAATTAGAAAAACATTCAACAGAAGGTAGTTCAATTTCAACATTCATGTTGACAAGAACGAAACTACATTTTATTTAAAATAGTTGATAAGAATCCACTTGTAAGTAAAAACTGTTTTGTATTTAGTCGGTTCAGTTTTAATCTATTGCTATTAATATATCAAACATAATTATAACAAATCAACCATTTACAAATCCTAGCTATGAGCTTCATTTAGTTAATTGAGATGGAAATAATCCTTGAAATTCACTAATATCTACATACCAACACACGCACGTGCTCCGTAACCAAAAGTGCTCATCGCAAAAGGATGTGCGTTTCCGTAATAAAGTGGATCATTTTTGTCCACCAACCATCGCTCCGGAATGTATTCCTGAGGCCTCGGATAGTGGCACTCCATTAGGGACATATATTGGTGACAAGTTATTACATATGTCTGTAAAAGATACACGTTTAGCTGCTAGGTTCTTTTTTATGTTATTTAATGACAAATATCTTTCGTAAATTATGTTTTTAAATATTTTAATCGGCATTTATTTATTAAAATAGTGAATTTGTAGGTTACTCGAAATGTAAGAGAAAGGTATGGTATGCTTATTTTTAATTTCATTTAAGGTAAATTTCATTTTTAAGTAGAGTAGGTGACGACCGAAAAAATTTGAAGTGGATGAGGACTAGTACAGAGTATTTATCAAGCTGCGGTTTCTTTTATGAAATATGATGTGTAACATTTACCAGTTACCCCAATAGTCGCCTCTTATTTAAGATAGAATATCCAATAATAGGCGGCATAAATACAAGAAGTCCGCTATTTCTGTAAAATATCTTAAACGTTTATTTTGTCCTACGTATATTTTTAGGGGTCCGTACCCAAAGGGTAAAACGGGAATCCGCATCTCATGAACCGTGATAATTAGACAGTTGAAATTTTCACAGGTGATGTAATTTCTGTTGCTGCTAGATGTTGGTTCGGAACGTCGTGCGCTAGTCCAAGTCGCACTTGGGCGGATTTTTTTTTATTTGAAATTAATACAACATAAAAGCACGTACATTCTTCGGAATGTTGTATCCGAGCAAATTATATTCTTTCGAGGTTTCTCTCATGTTTCCAAATGTAACGGGCAACAGTCGCATTGTTTCTTTTATACACGCCCTTAAATATTGTCTTCGATCACCTTTCGATCTCAGCTCTACGCGTAGTTTGTGTTGCTTTTCAGGATTATTGGCGAGTAAATAGAATATAGCTATCATCATATTTCCAACCTGTATAGTACGTTCAAGATTGGAGGAAAGAAGGTCTAATAAACAACAGAGAATGCAACAATATTGTGCTCCTTTTTTAACTTTAAAGGGTATTCACATAAAATAATTTAGAAGGGTTTTCACATAATACCAGATCTCTAAATTGTGTTAATTGTAAAAAACTTGAAAGTATTTTCTTTTTAATACACATAATAATTACATTTTTCGTAATTTTATGTACAGTCAAGCGTTCCAGCAATTTTAAATTAAAGTTTTTGTATTAAATAAAAAAAATCTAAGAATTATTAAATTATTATTATTTTATCTGTATACTTACAGTATCTATTCCACCAAATAATAGGTCGCTGGCAATGAAAACCGCCATGTTCTTATCGATTTCTAACAATTTTTCTATAATACCTTTTTCTCTATTTGAATTGTTATTATTATTTAAGTTTTTTACGGCTTTGTTCATCAATTCTTCACTCGCACTAAAATGTGCATTCATGTTAAAAATTGCGCTGACATTTATATAAAAAAAATAACAGTTATCTAAATTAATGATACTTTGCTTTTTCATTATAAAAATAGTAATATTAATGAAATGAAAAAACAATGCTAATAATTTCTAACCTTTCTAAGTAAGAGATTTGTCGTTAAAGCATTTATGCATTTTGGGGTTTCGGTTTCACACATGAAAACATAATAAAACTAGGCAGGTATTGTAGTTCGTGTCTATATACGATATTTGTATTGATTTAATACACACTTACTATTCAACAGTCTCAAAAATCTGCATTGCTCGCTTAAATGTTCTTGTTGGATAGTATCGCCAAATACTCGGTTTAAAATCTAACTTGTCAAGCACTGTAAAAAAACTGTGTATGCTTTCAATTAATTTTCGCTCTGCGGAGTCCTCGGGCAAATTGGGATCGAAACAATTGAGTCGTATGCCAAAAGCTATGAGTCCAAAAGATTCTAGCATCCACAACATTACTTCTTCGTTAAACTTTCTTTCAATCATGTTGTCCTTGTTACGTAGAGATTTTATCCTAAAACAAGTCCATTTTTTTTAACGAAAAACAAAACCTACTTCAAATATCTCGCTCTGTATTCATTTTATAACTGATTTTCAGGAGTTCCCTAAGTATCTCCGGAGCACAAGATCCAATTCCAATGAAATGAACATAGGAAGCACCAGCGTCCAAATAAAAAAAAATCGTCACAAGTATAATTTTTAACAAAAAAAAACCGACTTCAATCTGAAAATTAAAAACGTTGTTAATAAATATAACATTCAACGACTGCCCTCGATTTCTCTAGGATGCAATCGTCAGATCCGGGTTTCCTTACCATGGTACCAACCTTGGGATGTTACCTTTCCAACAAAAAAGAATCATCAAAATCGGCTCATAAACGACAAAGTTATCCACGAACACACATAAAAAATAATCAAAATGTATACGGTCGAATTGAGAAACCTCCTCCTTTTTTGAAGTCCGTTAAAAATCGGTTCACTCAGTCGAAACTTCTGGGGTAACAAAACATAAAAAAAATACAGTCGAATTGAGAACCTCCACCATTTTTGAAGTCGGTTTCGGATTGGCAAATACCAATAAATACTCAAAAAAATTCTACTGCTTGCCAGTTAATTGTTTAGTTTGTTACCCGACTGACATAGACATGAAGGAACCTAAGGAAGGTTTTGTTTTTTGTGAACTATGTATGTATTTATGTATAATTATTTGGCACGCCCTACAGTCTAAGCCTTTTTACAGATTTCAGTATATGATGTGTCATTAGATTCGATTCAGTTGAGATTGTGTTATATAATATATGCCTATCTATTTAATTTCAATATGGCGTCCGAAAAAAATAGGTAGTTAGTATTTTTATTGCAGTCAGAATGTTTGTTTCATTTATTTTTATTGCAGTCAGGATCTTTGTTTCATTTAATAATTTACGTTTGTTTTATTCTAATTATATATAACTCACCTTACGATGACTTGTTGTACAATTTCGTCAAGTGGCGCAGTGAAATCTTTTATTGATTTTGGTTGCATCATTACTGGATTAACTGTACTTCGTAATTCCTTCCACCTAATCCCATGGCTAGAAACGTAACAATAATATACGATTCATTAACAATTACAAATGCACGCGTTACCCAGAAGACTCAGGGTCGAATCTCGAGGCGTCGTAAATTATATATAATTTTTTTAAATGTTATCCAAAATACAGACGAGATGTGCTTTTCACGTTATGTATGTCAAACGACATACATAAACGTTAAAACTACTCACGATAGCCAGAAAAAAATTCACAAACAGAAAGTTTTACGTAATAAGTTCATTTACTTACAAAATAAATAATGCGGAATCATTCGACAAAGAAAAGCATCAGTAGTCAGGCGAAGACACCGATGTTGTATAACATGCCAATGCCACATAAAAAAAGTACACAGAAAAGATCAAAATTGAAAATGAAGGGTGCTTACTCGGTAATCAATCCAGTGAATTTATCATTTTTGCTCTTTTGTTTTTTAACAACTTTTCGGTAATATTCTAGTGAGAAAAATCCCGGTCGTTTCGGCAATACATTTTCAGAACGAAAAACCTAAAATGTTTTTTAGACATTAGTCCTTGAGTAAAATATTTTAAAAACAGGGACTAATTAACGTATTTATTTAAATATAAATTATTTATACTTATACGTAAACGTCCAAATGTAAATAATAATACATTACAATTTCCAAATTAGACAATTGTTCAAGAAAGTACCTTAAAGCCTATGAGTGTGTAATGAGATACACACGTGTCTCAGGAGAATATATCTTAAAACAGTAATTATTCTTACCTCGGCTGAGCTTTCTGCATCAAAGAGTAGTACATTGTCAGGACCACCGAGGAGCCCTTTCAACTTTACAATTGGCCCATATGTTTTGTATAAATGTCTATGTAAACGAACGCCTTCAAATTTATACAACGAACCTAAATAAGAGAGACATTCTTATAAAGTGTGAAATGTGGAACCAGCTGCTGGCGGGGGTCTTTCCGAACCGTTACGACCTAGGAACCTTCAAAAAGAGAACATAATCTTTCCTTAAAGTCCGGCAACGCATTTGTAAGCCCTCTGGTGTTGCAGGTGTCTATGGGCGGTGGCCGTTTGCCCCTTTTTTCCATAAAAAAAGTACTACAGTCTACTGTCTTATACAGTCTTATAAAGTCCCATAAAGCCTGCCTACAACCTATTTCTGACAGGTATTTGTTGAAAAGCTAGGAGATAGCAGATAGAATGCTGTTATTCTGGTATGGGGAGATTTTTAAAGATACCCTTTACTTTATTACTTTGGGTAATAGGGGTTTCAAAACATCCCACAGAACGCATCGGTGTCTATCTACAGTGCACGTAATTTTCTAGTTCCTTCTCTATCCCGCTTCGTGCAACAATTATCTCCTCTTAATCGCATTTTATGACAGACATAAAGATCAAGCATATAGTGCTAAAGCCCTAAGGAATTACAAAAGTTTTATATGTGTCATTCTTATTTGCAATAATGGATAAAGGAATAAACATAATCACAAATAAGTAATGCATGATATATCTGAAAGAAATTTCATAACCTTTTTTAAACTATCGATGTAGACAGATCTCATTTAAGTCCCAGAAGGGACAAATAAGGAGCCAGAAATTTATGAATGTTTCATTAAAACGTTTAATGTAACTTGCCGCCAGGTAGAAAATGATGCAGTTGTCCTACGAGAGGCAATGAGGTCGGTCCAGGAATTTCATCCCACGATTTAGGTACGAAAGTGGGATCTGCGTCCGAAGAACTTACCGCTCTAGTATTAATACTTGATACTCTTCTGTAAATAAAAATAGCGATCGTTTCTAATGTTATAATAATTAAGACTTTTAAGTCATATTTATATGTAATCTAAAACATATAATCATACAGATGATAGTCACGTCAACACTGTTTATAATTGCATGGACGAGATTATATTCTTTATTTATTTTAAATAATGTAATAAGAGTAGCTGGTAGTGTACATATTTAAAGCCATTGCCTAGTTTTATCCATATATGTACTAGAAAGGTAACTGCACTTGTTTATACAAATTTTGCGTTCATGGTAGTATATCTATAATTGTATATAAATACAGTGGTAATCTCTGCACTTAAGATTAAACATTAAAATTTTTAGAAAAAGTACGAAAAGATCGTCACCGCTATGGGAATCGAAGCCACTAAGCTAAAGCGTTAGGTCGCGAATGCCGAAGACGTGGGTTGGCTTCCCACAGCGGCGACAATCTTAACGTACTTTTTCTACAAATTTTAAAGTAAAAAAATGTAATGAACCGTAATGAGAATCTAAACCATTCTCGAATCAACCCGAAGACACACTAAAAATTTCATTAAAATCGGTCCAGCCGTTTGAGAGGAGTTCAGTGACATACACACGTACAGAAGAATTATATATATATATATATATACTAGCTGCCCCGTAAACGTTGTTTTGCCGGGACAGCTAGTATATATATAATTGTTTTGTAGAAAAAAATGTTTGGCTGGACCACCCTTAACATTTAGGGGGATGAAAAATATATAGATGTAGATTCTCCACCCTGGCCGATATGCACACAAAATTTCACGAAAATCAGTTGAGTCATTTCGGAGGAGTTCAATTACAAACACCGTGACACGAGAATTATTAGAACATAAATACAGCGTGTCGTTACAACCGCGACAATAAATGAACCCACATATAGAGAATAACTTTTTTAAATTGTATTAAGCATTTACATTCTTTAAACATAAATATTTACCGAGTTATTAAATTTTACAAAACAAACATTTTTAGAACAGCCTTACATATAAAACTGTAACGTAAAGTTCATTTATATAGATCACAAAGCATATGAATGGGTTGAATGAATTTAAAAGAGATAAAACGTACTGTTAGAAGGAGAGACTTGTTATGCGACATTGTGGCAACGAATGAAAACGTCTCTGAATGTATGAATCAGAGTTGTGTTGTATAGGATGTTACAAATTTTCTTTCTTTTTTATTTTATTAGTTTGTTTGTAAAAAATATTTTTTTAATTATGGATTTTTTTAACGTTTTATATTTTTTATGATTATTGGCAAGTAGCGTTAGACGTGTGTTCATTTATTGTCGCAGTTATATATAAGAGATTTCCTCCGATAATTGACTCATGATTTTTTTGGAACCATAAGGCGAAGAGACTTGAAATTTGGTAGGAATATTCCTTTCGCCGGGTCAGAGGTCAGCTAAGAACGTATTTTACGAAATTCCACCAAAATCGTTTGCCGGATCAGTTAGTTCGTCTATAAATGTGAGCAAAATATAACTTGCTATTCTAAATGTATGCGACTTTTATTTTTACCTTGTTAAATTTTGTTGAACTGTTTCTTATTTTGAAAAGTGTTGTTTCAAAATTAAATTATGAATAATTGTTTATAGAATAAAAAACTGATTAACAAAGTTCCGTAAAAAAATACATGTAGTAATAAAAAGGTACAAAGTACAGATGATTATCCCGTCTCGTGAGTGTACCTCACTCTGATGCCAGCCAATGCCAACTCAGGTTGGCAATGCCTTTGCAACCCAACAGGTGTTGTAGATGCACAGGAGTGAGGAAATCAATATCATATGAACCTCTATCTTGAAAAAAACTACTATATTTGAGGTATTTTAAATTATATAAATAGGCAAAACGATTTCAAAAATTATTGTAGTGTATCATTATGGCGTATCGTGTTAAAAAAAATAAGTAATAAAATAAAAAAAATATTCCGGTAATTTCTTTAAATTTGAATTTACGTAGGTACTTACCGTAAACATGTAATATTTGTTTGAGCGAATTGAAATATATTATTTAACTTCATTGTTACATATAGTTTTGTAATATTATGAACTTATATTAAAAATCTTCTTTGTAGTAAATTAACGGACAAATTTCCTATCCCTTATATCTTGAAACGTATTCAGCTGTTGAAGAATTTATAAAGAATGTACAATTCAATGGCACTTATTATTTGCTTTCTATTATCATTGATCTTTCAACAACAACAATGACTTTTTTTAAAGTCATTGAAGCGTCCGGGCGTTCGGTATAAATCTAATCTATTTAGTTTATTATAAGCTTGCGAAATGTGATATACACTGGATATTGATGTTTTTTAGTGGAAATAATACTTATTATTACTATATTCTCATTTAAAACGTTTTAAAACTCCCCCAATATATTGGATACTGCTGGTAAAGCTGGGCGTATGTCTTTTATATGAAAGTCTTTTCTCAGCATTAGGGTGTACACAAGTACACTATTAATTTGTTACAATTCTTGTCTTAATCTATTCAGATGGTAAAGTTACATCTATTTATTTGGTAAGTACCCTATAGGTTCTTCCCGAGGTAGTTTCCGTTGACTTAGAATCAAAGAAAGGTCTTATAGCACAAATAAAGAAAAAATTCAGAAAAATGAAAAAGTTTAAAATTAAGTTAAATTTGGATTTGGTTTATTAGATAATATGTAATTTTAGATAGATTTAAAATCGTAAATATTAGTTAAATTTTAGTACTTACAAGTTTTCGCGAAAACAAAATTAGCCCATACATTTTTAGCGTGTTGACCCCAGTTATCTGGTATAAATTTCCCGTAAAATCGGTGGTGATTATGTACCATTTTTATTATGGCGGTATAATGGGTATGTACGGAACCCTTGGTGTACGAGTTCGACTCGCACTTGACCGATTATTGCTAGTGTTTCACGATTGCGGCCGGTAAGAACTGTTTCGCATATAATTACTTAGTAGTTAACCTTGAACAGAACTATTGAATTGCAAGTAATGTTATTACCTATTGACACGATTTTTATATTATGTTCGTGATAGGTTATTTGTTGCTCATTTACTGAAAATTAACATTTTACAGTTTTATTTATTTATTTATTTATTTATTTATTAGGTCTGCCAGTACATAGTTGCAACATTAAAACAATGTTAAATGATACATGAATTAATGAAACAGATTAATGTACATCTAATTAAGAGACGAAAACAGCATACTTAAAATTAAAAAGAAATTATAAAAGTATGAACAAAATATTTTAGGCTCACCATATTACTTAATAAAATAAAAAAAAACATAATATTTCTAAGGCAAAGAGAAATAAAAGAGTTTAAAATATATCAAAGAAAATAAAATTATGTGGTCCATGTTATGATTTTAATTGAGAAACATAAGGTTACATGACAACATTAAACTAACTACGTTAACTTATACAAATATAAATAAATTAAATCTTAGCATTACCATTTTTAGGAGCTCCTTATTTTAATATTCATTTAATTTGCTTTGAAATAATTTTAAGGAGTCAAAATTAATGTCAATGGTTGTAGTGTATTCATTAATAAAATTAGACAGGCGTGACACTGGTGTTTTTCCCAAAAACAGTGCGTTTAATTTGCGGAGCTAAGAGGGGAATAGCTTTGTGGGGATACTTGCCAGGTATACGGTAGTTTAAATGAGCAAGGAGTTGCGGACTGCATTTTGGACTTAATGATTCCATATTTAAATGTGCCAGTTGATCTTGGTAAGACATGGTTTTTTGTATATCCTCAGAGTAACTTGATTTTGTAATAGTAGTGAAGCATTATGTTGCTGGATTTAGTATATTATTCTTGTTAATCTTAAGGGCGATGATCATGATCTCAGCGATAAAGCTCTTTTCTAATTAAAAAAAAGAATTGGTAATACCATGAAGTTGGTGGGAGTTGGTCGCTTTGCAAACAACTTCATCATGCCGCACACCTACGTGCGCGCATTGTAAAAATTTTACTTTCATAATTTTTCCAAACGCATCAAAAGACGTATAACTTCAAAAATTTAGATCTACTGCATACAGCTACATATGGGCTCGTGGAGGAAATAGGAAGTATTAAAACATCAAAGCTATATTTTTCATACATATTTTTGGTCGTCACCAGGTATTTTTTTTTAATTTTTGTATGTTTAAATTGAAATCAATCACTGTGAAAAAATGTAATGTGTTTTTTTATTTACTAATAAAACATTTACAATATAGTTTCACGAATATTTAGTATATTTAAGTAACTATCGCAGGCTTTGTCTCTTTTCTAGCCTGATGTTAAGTGATAACCGCCGTCCATGTACCCTAGGGTTCCAGATGCGTTGCCACCTTTTAATACAGTGCCATATAATATAGGCCTCGGCGACCTCACTCATCAGACGAAACGCAGAAATGTAACATTTCCATTTCACGCCTGTCTTCAGTGTAGCCGTGGACCTGCCCATTCGTGCGACAGTGAAGACTGTTGGTGGCTCTATAGGTTAACGATCAACAATACCAACCAGTTGTTATTATTGATGGAAAGATTCTTAGCCACCCGAAATTTTTACAGCTCAGTGTATTATGAAGTTTGTCAGTCTATGGGATGGTAAAATAATAGTCAATAATAATAGCCATTGCAACAATATTCGTATCATTGGGAAGTAATCGGGCTTTCTTGATTTCCAATATCTTTAATTCCTAGGCCTAGTCCTTATTTAAAGCCTTACATAATATCACTAAATATGAAGTTATACGGTCCAAGAGAATAATTCACGAGTCTCTGCTGTATCTTCAGTGGCTCTCCAACCCATTCAATATGGAAGTTCTCTATGATACGTGTAAGAAATATTTCTAGTTCCAGTTCAGCTACCCTGCGACCTGAAAAAATGTAATATCGATGTATGAAATTCATTTGTTATATACATCGTTCAGATTATATAATAATGTAGGAAAGAGTCGATATTAGTATTTAGTAGAGTAATCACATACCAATACAGCCACGAGCTCCGTAACCAAAAATACTAAACGCAAAAGGATGGGCGTTTCCATGATAAAGAGGATCGTCTTTGTCCACCAGCCAGCGCTCTGGAATATATTCCTGCGGCCATGGGTAGTGGCACTCCATTAGGGACATGTATTGGTGGCAAAACAAAATAAGTGTCTGGAACAATAATAGGTTATAAGCTATTAAAGTTTTGTTTGGTCACAAGATTTTTAAGACAATTTAAACGGTCTGGAACCAAGTAGAATAGTAGAAACATTTCCATTGTAATAAAATCTTCGATGAAGAATAACGAACAACGATCAGCAATAACAACAAGATGCACAATAAAACATGTGTCCAGTTGATTGATCTTCATTGATAATTGGAAAAAAAATATAGATATTTTATATAGGCCTGCCCGCGACTACGTCTGGGTAGAATAGGCTGAAGGCGTAACATTCAGACCGAAAAACAGATAATGTCTTATTCATATGTATAAGCTACATCATTGTAAAGTTTCATTAAAATCAATCAGTATGTATAAAGCAAACATACCATCATTGTAAAGTTAATTAAGGATACGTACTCATGCAATTGAAAGAAATTCAATTATGTGATATAAACAAAAATTATTGATAATAATTTGCATTGTGAAGAGACTGTAGCACTACAGCATTTACTAGGTTTTTTAAACAGATGAAGATCAGAACGTGCCAAATCTGGAGAGCAGGATGGAGCAGTGATTCGAAGCCACAATCATGAATTTCAGCCAAGAATTCGAAAGACATGACACCATTCTTTCTTATGAATCTTTATATGACTCTTTCTTATTCTTTGATTCCTTCGTGTAAATAATTTAAAATTTTGAATTATTTGTTTCACATCTTCCAGGATGACCCACGATGAATAACAATGCAATCGTTTGAGGAAAAATATGACTAAAAAAAGGATAACTACGGAGTTTCTTTCACCTGTTTCTTCTCCGTTAGAGGAACCTCATAACGAAAGAGTGGTAGATTTAAAAAAAAAATACTATCGAAAGATGAAATGTATATTTCTTACTTCGACGAATAAATGATTTGATTTGATTTGAATGACACTATTATCACTTTCCCAGGTGATAAAATTCCCTACGTTTTCCTTGGAGGCGGTAAACCATATTTTCCGTTGTTTAGATTTTTAAGTAATATTTCTTTTGACGCATTTAGGAAAAACGAGAGTGAATTTTTAGGATGCGCGACACCTAAACGCGAGCCTTAATGTAGCTTATACATCAGAATAATACATAGGCTATAGAATTTGTGTAATTATATAATATTAAGAACACGTATCAAGTATGTCTGAAAAATTCCATGAGAGCTATCTTGGCATGCTACCTAAACAATTTGGACTTTCACGAAGATAATGTATCGTGGGATTGTTTGTCTTAAGCAGTTCTAAATTAAAGTCCGTGACAGAACATATCTATTTTTTATGTATATCTCAAATTATGAGCTATAACATTTAAATTGGATATTTGTTGACAGTGAGTATTTAGAGTATTTAGTTAATTGTTTTAGTTATTTGTTTTCAAAATTGATACATTTTTCGCTTTCAATGTTTAAAGTAGATTTACAATTACTCAATTTTCTCCTACATAAAGTAATTTGGATGAATAGTTTAAAAAATATCATGATAAGATTGAGTTGAGTAGACAATTAAGCGCCTACCATAAGTAGTGTGGTAGGGTCACGCAGCAGCCTCGGCTGTTGAACGAATGGGCAGGCTCGTCCGGGTAAGTACCACGACCTCACAGAAGACTGGCCGGAGCCCAATTTTCAAAAGGTTGTCAACGCATCTGCAACCCTCGGGTGTAGCAGAAGTTCATGGGCGGCGGTATTCGTTTAACATCAGGTGAACCGCCTGCTCGCTGGCACATTTCACATAAAACAAAGTACGCGGCATGCAGAACGGGGGTGGACGCGCCGTCTAGGCAATGATATGCTACCACTGAGTGCGGGAGCGGGGCCCGAAGGCGGGCCACATATACCAACCCGACATAAATGCGCCCATTCTCAAACTTCCTCAACGAACCTATCGAGGAAGGGGACTTAGGTACGTCGGACCACCGGGGTTCCCGCTAGACGACACTATGCCCAGTATACCCAGTGCTAACACACAATCAGTTAGTTCGTAATGGTCTTCGAGTACGACGGAACCAACAAAGCGATCGATAAAGTTTTCACAGTCAACGGATTGAAAGAACAGACATTAGTCAAAGTATCTAAGGCATACATGTTTTGGTATTTTGTAGCCCAGCAAGTTATATTCTTGCGAAGTTTCTCTGAGGTTACCAAATCCAACAGGTAAGAGTCGCATTGCTTCTTTTATGCAAGCTTTTAAGTATAGCTTCCGATCACTTGTTGATCTTAAGTCTTCGCGCAATTTGATTTGTTTTTCCGGATTTTTTGCGAGTAAATAGAATATAGGTATTAGCATATTTCCAACCTGAAATTCACAGTATTAATAATTACTGAGATGCATGTACGGTATGTATGCAATTTATTAATTGATGAATTAGTTATTTGACTGTATTTACTGTGTCAATTCCAGCAAATAATAAGTCACTTGCGATAGAAACGGCTAATTTCTTATCGATGTCTAATAATTTTTCTAAAACACTTTTTTCTCTGTCGGAATCACTTTGTTTGCTATAATTTTCCATAGCTTTTTTTATAAATTCCGCATTTAAACTGTAAGCAGTAATTTAACATTTAATAGAAATTTATATTAAAATGTGAATTTTTATTTCATATTTTATATTATTGTACTAAATATATATAATTTTAATTAAAATATTATATTTCCATGGACTGACTTAAGTTATCTACTTACTTTTCTACTGCCTCGTAAAGCCTCATAGCTTGCTTAAATGTTCTTGTTGGATAGTACCGCCAAAGGCTCGGCTTAAAATCTAACTTATCTGATATCTTGAAAAAATTATGTATATTTTCAATTAATTTTCGCTCAGAGGAGTTTTTAGGCAAATTAGGATTAAAACTGTTAAGTCGCGTGCCTAGAGCTATTAGTGCAGAAGATTCTAAGATCCATAAGCACACTTCATCATTGAAGTTTCTTTCGATCATGTTGTCCTTGTTGCGTAATGATTTTATCCTAAAAACAAAAAAAAAAATATATCAATCTAAAAAAATACCCTATATATTGCATACATTTGTATGCAAACTCGGAGTACGAATTTCTTGATTCATAACGCAATGTACAAGTACGATGTTTTATGCTTTTATACTCAACGAGCGATCTGCTCCGTCTTTGAACGGGTACGCATATATTTTTTTAAGAAATTATGCCATCTATTGGTAATTTCTTTAAAGAAAATATGGTGAAGTGGATTTAATTTTGGCGTCAAAATAAGATAGAAGAGACCTTTCATTGATAAATACGTATTTATACATTTTCAATTTTGGTTGTTAATTATAGGGGATAACAATTTTTATTTGCATTATGCTAAATTAGAACTACGTATAATAGGTTTATGGCCTTGATGTTAAGTCTCAAAGTCTCAACATACAAACACAGACAGTTGATTAGAAATTCTAGTATTTGAAAACGTAACAGTTACTAATGTCAACAAATTTAACATTAATTAAAATAAAAGTTTACACTGATGGAAGTAGTGGCTTCTTGTTGTAGAAAACATGAAGATAAGAAACTTTTAGCTTAAAATTTTACGAGTATTAGTAGGCACTCTTCTAAGACAGCGTTTGATTCGTTCATGAAATTTACCTTTCGACTACTTCTTGAGCTATTTCGTCAATTGGTGTGGCGTAAGCTTTAATTAATTTTGGCTGCATCATAACTGGATTAATGGCAGTACGTAGTTCTCTCCACTCGTATCCGTGGCTAGTAGTTAAAAGTGAAATATTTTATTAAATTAGACTTATACGTATATTTAGGATATGATAAAAATAACACTATAATTATTTAAAATATTAAATAGAAGAGGGTGAATTCTTACTCTGTAATTAATCCAGTATACTTATTATTAATCCCCATTCGCTTTTTAACAACTTTTCTGTAATATTGTAAAGAGAAAAATCCTGGACGTTTCGGCAGCACGTTTTCAGAACGAAGCACCTAAAATTTTTGTGTAAGTTACTTAAAAACAAGGTTATCACTCAAAATTTATGCAAAAAAAAAATTTCTTACCTCTGCCGAGCTTTCTGCATCAAAGAGTAATACATTGTCTGGTCCACCGAAATGTCCCTTCATCTTTACAATTGGCCCGTAAGATTCAAATAGATGCTTTTGTAACTTAATACCCTCTAGCTTGTACAAGGAACCTACAATTGAATGCTCGTTTAGTGAAGTATTTAATAGGTATCTAGGAATTTTCTCGGCTTCTGCTTTATAATATAATTGATAATTGGTAATTATCAGTTCACTTAACTATATTCACTTAACTATATTTAAATTCGCCAGCTTTATACAAGCTGGCGAATTTAAATATAGTTAAGTGAATTTAACCACAATTATTTTACAAATATCCATGATGATGAGTTGATACTCATCATCATTAATGATAACAAAATACCACGACCTCGACCACGCCACGACTCATTATATATTGAACAAATATACTTTACTTAAAACTGGGATTCACAGTTAAGGACCTAATACGTACTATTATTAGAGGCGTTAAGTTTGTTAAACGTCATGCAGCTTACTGCGTACGTATCCATTTAAATGAAGTGTGTCTAAGATGAATAAAAAATATTGTATAGTTAACTGTGTTTACTGCGCAAAGCGAATTTCGCGTTTTTCGTTTAGGTCGTAAGGCTTCTGCAACCCTAAGGGTGTTGAAAATATCCGGGCGGCGGTCATCACTAACCATCACGTGAACCACCAGCTCGTTTGCCACCTTCGCACATAAAAAAAAACTTTATATGGAGAAAGTTTATATCTATGTAAAATATGTTATGCACTGTAAATAAAAGAAGATATATATTCTTTCCCTGCGTTTAAAATTTAATGAATATCGAGTTTCGACTACTAGAGGACTTATCGTACTGTGATTATATCAATAGAAAATATTCCTTATTCTTGTGTTACGTTTATAAAATACATTAAAATGTGTATACGTATGTTTTATAAACTTGCCGCCTGGGAGAAAATGATAAAGTTGCCCTATCAAAGGCAATGTCCTCGGCCCAGGGATCTCGTTCCATGATTTCGAAGGTGTGCTAGTGGAGCCTAGCTTCGAAGCAACGTATGCTGTGTTAATAGTTGATACTATTCTGTAATTATAGGTATAAATATAAGTTTCAGATGTATAATTTTTATGCATGGATCAGAATTGGATATCATGACTGACTAACAATTACTTAAATAAGAAAATCAAGTATTCATTGTGGAATTGTTTTCTTTTCTATCAGTAATTGTCTGTCGTCTAACCATACATTGCTAGGCGGTGCGCCGTTTTCTTTTGATAAAAACTTGCCTTAATTAGGCAGGCAGTCCATCCATAAAAGCAACAGCTGTTGCGTGGCCTTTTTTATACATGCTATGAGATAGTATCGTGACCTGCTCACGTGACTTTTACTTATGGAGACGCGTTGAGTTTTGCAACCAGTTCTTAATTTTACTAACTAATCCTTTTAGTCTACGCCTTAAAATAGTTCAATTTAACCAATAAATTACATAATAAATAATAACAATAATTTGAACACAAATCAAATCTCAGGGTCTAAACTTTATTATTATTTGAAAATTAACGATAAAAAGATACATCAATAATAACGCATTGAACATCTAATTCATTGTCTTAAAGGACAATGTTTCATTAAATCTATTTTTTCAAGCAAACTTGGTTTTGAGCATCAAAATTAATCTTAGAAGGAAAATAATTAAAGAAGACTGTAGGTTTCTTACCTCAGATGATTGTATTGTTTTCGGGAAAGGTTGAACAATTTTATCATTTTTGTCTAGTATGCTAAGGACATTCTCATGCACGACTGCTGTTTGCAGAAACTTTATAGGGACTGGAAATAATCCAGTACTTATCTGTGAATGTAACGTTAGCAAGACTAAACGACCTAGATAGAATGATGAATGATGACAAACAGTTACCATAACTAGGTGTACATTAGTTGAAACTAATTACAAATGTCTTGTTTACTTAACTTTTGGACTTGGTTGTACATATATTTATAACACCTTGAAAAATATTATAGTCTCTCGATATATAAGTTCGTACGTTTATTACGTTAGTGGTAATATTAAATCGAAAATGTTAATTCGGCATATATTCTTGTGCGTAAGAAAACCGAAAAGTGGTCCCATTTATTTTTAGAGATTGTCGCTCGATACTAGCGGAGCCTCTGTTTAATCTCTACAATCAATGTTTACCGACAACCGTATTTCCGTAAAAGTGGAAAATTACCCGGGCTGTACCAGTGCCTAAGAGTAATTCCGAAGCTCAAGTAGAAGGCTACTGACCTATAGCAATATTATCAGCACCGGCTAAATTATTAGTCTGCTATTTATAAGAGCATATACGGTCAGGTAAACCCTTTCGGATGCTCAGCATGGGTTTCGCCAGGCATGATGTACTTGTAATAATCTCCTTGCCTATATGGCTGATATTGTGTCAACGGTAAGCGGCGGAGGGCAAATTGATGCCCCATACTTCGATTTTAATAAAAGAACGACGTATTATCGACGACGTATTGTATTCAATTAGATAACTTTTGTAAAGGAAAATACAATTACTACTAACTAATAAGTTAGTAGTAATTGTATTTTCCTTTAAAACTTGAAAACTTCCGTTACTTGAGACACATAGAGCATTATGTAAAATAATGTGGACACAAATCGGAACCAAACCTTACTCCGGCTTAAATCAAGGTAGTATAACGTTGGAATCTTAAGTTTTTAATGTAGATAACGCTATTATACGATCACGAAACGTTTGTTTTGAGGTACACCGACAACCTAAGGCTTTAACTTTCGTGAAGGGTCACGGTAGTAATCGGTAATAGGATACCGATTGCTAGAGTGCAATCGATACCCTATTAAAATTGTAACTGTACACGATCCCGCTATCCCACAAGAACGAACCCGTGTAAAAAGTTATTCAAGGTGTTGGACTGTAGAAGGTTGTCTACTCCAATTGACTACTCTGTCTCTATCCATGTGCAACCTCTTGCAGTCCCCTTCTTTTCTAATAGACAAAGTTAGTTTTAGCGTTTAGCTAGTTTAAACCGCGGCATTTCCAGCGTGTCACCACGGCCCAAACGCGATGTGTCTTATTTCTGAAATAAAAACAATATAATGAACATGAATAAATATTACATTGTGTAAGAAGAGTATTGATATAAATAACCAAAATAAAATGATTGTGTTTTAAAGGAACTTATCTCTCCGAGGTATGGATATAGCTCGCGAAGCTTGAAAAGCATAAATAGGAAAAATGCGATAGAAATGTTACAGGCACATATGCCCTTTTCCAAAGCATCGCTCTTCAAAACATCGAGTGTAACTTTATACGGCGAGTTAGTTATGCTGTATAAAATGTTATAGTCATACATATGTATAAATGTAAGTAGTTTATACGTTAGTAGTTACCCGTAGGAGATCTTAAACCTGAAAGAGGTAAACATAAACCAGTTGGTGGCGTAGATGACGCTTTTATTAAAATAAGCCGACAATTCAAGGTTCATGTACTTCAACGTGCAATAAATTAACTTTTTACGTTTTCTATAAACATCTTGGAGTTTCTTAATCATTATTGGATTGAATATTAAAATTATTAAGATTAAATATTAGATTAAGAATGACTTACTTGCATTGAACCGTACGGAAATCGGACCTTGTTAATACGTAGAAACTATATAAGTCGATCGTTGCGTGTGAATTTTTTGGCAGGTACGGTGTAGTATTTTTAGCCTTGGACCCTTTACAGATCCACCGGACTTGAGGTGGCCGGGTGATCGGGTGCCTAGCCTGAATCTCGGCTCGGGCCGTCATGATATTGTTATTATTCTCACCGGTTTGGGAGGCCACCAAGCTCTTAGGATGCTTTGGCAGACGCTCCATGGAGTGACTAGGCTCAAGGGCCCCCGAGAGGAAACCTCTGCTTGGGCTGTCACTCAATATCCGTTCAGCATTCCGATTCGTGGGTGCCCGGGAGGGCCAGCTCTCGGCTCGATCGATATGTATAGTCTGGCCGGAGAGTGTGAAAACGATCCAACAATGATGGACATGTATGTTTTTAATAGTGGCAATCGATAAGGTTATTCACTCACTTTAAGTTATACTTAATACTATTTGAAGTTATACTTGCTTTGGCACGCTTGGAAAAAAAACATGAGTGTAAAATTTTTACGATACACACGCACCGAAATGATAAAGTTGGTTGCAAAGCGATAAACTTCGACCAACTTCACGGTGCTACCATGGCAACTAATAACATTTACATTTACCTACAATTCCAAGTTATTTAGAGAGCCGTGATAGCTCAGTGTCCGGGCGCTCGCCTTTGATTCAATATACTCAAGCAACCTGAGTTCGATCCCCGGTGCCGGCACCAATGAAGTTTTTAACTTTAAGTGCTGACTTATCACGTGCTCCGCGGTGAAGGAAAACATCGTGAGGAAACCTGCATATTTTCGAAATAATAACAAAAAAAAAAAAAATATATTTCGAAAATATGTGAAGTCCGCCAATCTGCAGTGGGGCCGCGTGGTGGACTATGCCCTGATACCCTCTATATAGAGGAGGCCTTTGACCAGCAGTGGGACATGTATAAGCCGTTACTTTAGTTGAGCCGTTATCAGTTGCATTTAATGTCTTTTTAACAAACAAAGAGTACTGGCACGGGTATAATTTTTGCTATTTTTCTTTTATTACTCAGAAGAAGTATAACTTCTTACGTGCGTACATAAGTACATAAATATTTTTTATACAATCTTAGATAAATAATGTTTTGCGTGAAGTGTTTTATAAAGGGGTCAGTATAAATATGTGCAAATAAGATAAAATAAAGTATAAAAATAATTGCTATTATGCAAATTATGGGGGAAGCTTTTGTTCAGCAGTGGACTCAAACAGGCTGAAATGATGAGGATGATGATTATTCAAAGAAAAATAACAAAAGCACAACGCATGACACAACTTCATCTTATTATTTCTCTACGGATAGTTTGTAAAAGCTTTATCTATAAAGCACCGGCAGTCTATTGTGTTTTCAGTGTAGGCTGTGCAAATTCAACTCTAATCATATTACGAAAAGATTCATTTTAAAGATAAACGATACTGGAATAACGTTCGGAGAGTATCAACCTAGATTGATGAGGCAGACTAAATGAAGAGTGATATCATTCCTTTCTCTCACCGTACAATAGAAAATAGCGTTGTTATATATTTTATTGCGTATTGGTAGAAACGTTTTTGTAAGTTTTGGGATAATGCTGAAATAAACTAAGCGCTTTTAGTTTTTTAATTTTATAGTAGTTTATATATATACGATCTTTTTTCATTTTCATTACAATTATCAATAATTGTGTTAGTACATTAATTGCAGAACACATATTGTTGACGTAGTAAAAATATCTGACCTGCTTTCAAATGTTTTGTTTTAATATATCTACTAATAATATCTACTAATGTAAAGGTTCGGATGGACTGTGTTAAGAATGATATGTCTGTGAAAAGGGTGGGTATAGAGATGACGGCTCATAGAGGAAAGTGGAAGGAAAGAACATGTTTTGCCGCTCTCAGCTGGTGTGGGATAAGGGCAGGAGAAAGCAGAAAGAAGAAGAATACCAACTAAAACAGTAGTAGTTTTAAAAGGCTTCGTAATAAGGTTTGGAGAAAAATATGTAAGGTCGTTAATTATTTTGTTTCGTATGGGAATACGTCAATCATTGAATTAGATAAGAAAAAACTGGCCAAGTGCGTGTCGGACTCGCACATGAAGGGTTCCGTACCATTATCTTTAAAAAGGCAAAATAAAAATCAAGTCTATATATAATATGAGAGGCCCGCTTAAATATTTTTATTCTGTATTTTAGTATTTGATGTTATAGTCGTAACAGAAGTACATAACCTGTGAAAATTTCAACTGTCTAAATATGACGGTTCATGAGATACAGCCTGTTGACAGACGGACAGTCAGACAGACCGACAGCGGAGTCTTAGTATTCACGTCTTACCGTTTGCGTACGAAACCCTACAAATATCTCATTTAAATAGATATGTATTATATATAGATGTAGATGTTATATAAATAGATATGTACTTAACACAAACATAATTATATATGAAAGGTTCCTATTCTACTCTAAATAAGGATGCAATTCGATTCACTTGCTTTTCTTGTCGTTTGTTTCTTCTGCACAATCAATAGCTGGATTGTTCACTTTTATACAATATGTTTTACAAATAAAGTGAAAAATCTTTTCCAAATCACAAAATTCTTATTTTTAGCCACACACACACACACGCCTCACACCGCGAAGCAGTTGAGGTTTGGCTCTAAATATTCATAATATGAGTAGATGTAGTTTAATAATAAAATTGTTTTTTTGTTTATCAAAAAGAAGTTCTCTCTTTACACTTTTACAATAACGAAACATATTTCGTTTCTCATTTGCCTCACGTGAAAACGATGGCGCCTAAGATTCTCTTTAGAAAGTAACTCAACACTAGAAGTTATCAATAGTAAGAGAAATAAGACTTACTTTTTATTTCTTAAAAATTAAATAAGTGGTGTCTTTTTTTAATTTTGTCTTTTCCTCATCATATTTCATAGTAGAGTTATGAAGAAAAACTTAATACTGAAAGACAACATATTTTTTTTAGCACCGAGACAGGTTTATTTTACTTTTCGTTCCCAATGTTTCTGCCGTTATTTTAAAAGTTTTGGATTTAAAACAACTACAGGCTGTAGGCGGAGATTAGGTATTTAACTAAAATT